ATACTCAAAAAATGAAGTTGAAAGCTACTTACCGACTGAAAGTTTTAGTGAAAGTACAGGTTTCTATCTTCAGAGATTATTAATTTTAAAATTGATACATCGCTAATTTGTGTTCCATTGTAGTTCCAGTCCTGTGAATTTTCATGTTTAACACCCGCAACTCGTCATTTCAATATTGTCAACGAACGGAAGTCGTCACGGGGGGGGGGGGGGGGTCGTTCCGGATACTTCGCGTTCCGGCCAGAACCTAAGATCATAATTTTGGTTCCGGGTTTTACCGTAAGTTTGGTTCCGCCATGGCTTCAAACTTTGGTTTGGATTGAACATATTTTATTTTATTTGTAATTTATAATTACAAAGGAATTAGGCACAAGTTCTGAAAACTAAATATTATGCCCTCTCCCTACATGTAAATTACACATTTGAATCGTCACAGTTAAACATGAACTTTTTATATACAATATTTGTAAATGTTTACAAATCAATGCATTTTGCAGATATGCAGATCTATATATAGTTACACTTAATTTTGAACAAATGCATATACTGATACATTAATTAATGCTAACAAGGAATTCTACCAGAATGTTTAATAAATGTTTGAACGAAAGAAAAGAGACGTTCATTCTCTGCAGTATTCAGTGAATCTAACCAACCAACCAACCCAACCCCCATAATAAGACATGTGTACATGTATCTAGAATGTGGATTTTGTCAAATTGTAAAGATTTATTCAAATTCTTTTTTGGCTTTCTCATACTTTGGACATACAAAAACTAATGATATGTATCCTCAACTTTACCACACGAGCAAAAGGCTTGATATTAAATTGCATCTATGAAGGTCGCTATTCAATACACAATTATGCCGTAGTCTGGTTTGAATAACATTTAGTCGTCTGTTACCGTAATCAAATTATGATTGTGGAGCAGATTTTTTAGTACTAATTTTAGATTTGAATTTTGACATTGACTGTAAATTTCTAATTTCAAGTTCCATTCGTTAACTACAGTAAGAATAAATGTAGACTTCTAAGTTTGTAATCAACATTTTGGAATATCATAATTTTGAGAATTTCTTGTTGAGTAAATAGATGTGTTACAGTGCATATCTGGAAGTATGTCCATTAAGTATCCAGACACTAAATTATTATGAAGTTTGAACATTGTTTTTATTCTCGCTTCTTGTCTTCTACAGCTAAGAGGTTCCCATCCCGTTTGAAAGTAGAGTGAATCTTTGGAAGCTATAGTTGTTTACCCTGTTACAATTCTAGCAGCATTAAGTTGCAGTTTTCCTAACTTATCGTTATTACTATGTTGACAGCATCCCCATACCACTGAAGCGTGTTGATTCAAGTTGCGGTCTTATGAATGACGTATACATGAATGAGAGAGTTTTCGATTTACTTTAAATTTTATTTTTTTCAAAAGAGATAATTTTTTGTAGGCATTAGACAGTACATTTTCAATATGCGGTGACCAACTAGCGTTCGTGTGAAAAAAAATACTCCAAGGTGTTTGTGTTCAGAGATGAAGTACAATTGGCATTGTTAAAAAAGAAGCTTAGGATATTCTATGTTTTTATTTGTACTAAACATTATTGCTTTAGTTTTAGAGGGATTAAATTTCAATAACCATTTTTTAGACCAAAGTTCCAGAGCACTTAGATATTTGTTTGTCTCTTTCAATATTTTTCGTATTATGAGACGAATGCTGCAAAGAATTATCATCAGCAAATAGTCTACAAAAAGTAACCATATTAGCAACATCATTCACATTTAAATTAAAAACAAAAGTGGACCTAAAACTGAGCCCTGAGAAACACCAGCATATAAGGGTTAAGTTACGATTCATCACCCGTTGTGTTTGCGTGCTTGAGTGACCACAAAATCAAATACGGGCGCGGATCAAAGGGGAAAAAATATCACATTTTTATAACTTGGTGACAAGCACAAGCGCTAAAATTTATTTGCGCCAATGCATTCCCACATTGCATTTGCGCTAAAATATGTATGCGCCAAATTTTCTCCTTTTACAGTATTTGAATTACAAAAAAAAATTAAATAACCTTAATTCTAATCTTTTGGATAAATTGCAATTAAATACAGAATCAAATAATGAAGCATTTTGGGGAAAATTGTTTTTATTAGCTTATTATCAGATTTGAACACTATGTTTCACACACTACTTTATAGGACAGTGTATCTATATGAATCCCTCTATCAGCAACACGAGACGGTGCTAAGCCCAAGATTTCTCTTGAAAACAAGCAGAAACTAATTGAGTACAAAAACAAAACTATTTTTGCTTTGCTGGGATACGAGGCGGTATTTGAAGCAAAGTGCCTTCAAACATGATAAGGCCTTTCAAACATGGAGAAAGCTAAAACTACTGGTATCAATAAATACAATTAATTTTTTTTAAAAATATGCATTAAATTTTACCACAATTTTGGTCTCTTTTTCTTTCTTTCTTTCTTTTTTAAAAGAAAATCTCGACATCTTTGTGGTCCCAGCCGCAGAAAATGGAAAAAGGGGGTAAAACAATAGAAATGGTTTCTTTTGTATTCATTTAGTGTTTTAATTGCAAATTACAGACGAACTCAAACGATAATCAGTTGCTTGAAGCCCTCTCAGCACCTAATGTCAGAGTCGATACCGCCGACCAGGACGATGATCTCTTTCCAGTAAAAAAAAACAAAACAAAAAAAAAAACAAATGTCAATGAATATCAAATATGAAGTAAAATCGCGATGTATTCAAATTTTTCTTAATTTACTGAAGCTGTTAAAAATAAGAATATGAGGCCTATAAATAAGGGTCATTAAGGAGGGATTCTTGTCTGGTTTCTGACTAGATGAAATATTCAACGTGTATTTGCTCATATGTGTTATATATTTAGATGTAAGGGATTTAAAAGATCATATTTTTCTTTCCTCAACGTAATTGTACAACTTTAAATAAAAATGGTAAACTGAGTTTGAAATCTATCAGGGACTATATTTTTGGCGGAACGGTGGCGTATGAAAACATCTCCTTCTCTGCTTCTCAAAATTACTATAGAACAATGAATTTAGTTAAAATTTTTAAACAATCAAAGACTTAAAGAAAATTTCAAATGTAAGTAAAATTAATAATAATGGACTTTTAAAATACATCAAATAAATATGATTTCCCAAACAAACTACAATTTTGTTAACTTTTAAAGGCTTCCAATCTAAGTACGGATTTGAGAAAAAAAAATCCGTAAAAAGTGGGGGTTTTTTTTCTCTCTTAGTAAACGGTCAAAACTTTTTGTTTTTGTATCAATTTGTTTCTTTATATGACCACTTTAACATATGTGAAAATAAGAAAAATTTAAATATACGAAGCATATAAAAATAACTAATATATCCTAAAAATCTAAGAAAAACAGAGGAAATTCGGATTAGCCAATATCTATTTTAGTTAAATTATTTATATCAATTGGGTAGTATCATCTGATAGACCCTATATGGAAATATCTTTTTTTGCAAAAAGAAAAACATTTAATCTTTTGAAATAGAAGTAGGCATCGCATGATTGGCAACAGTAATCTTTTATTCTTAAGGTCAAGGAAAAAGATAATGACCTTGACCTGACCTTGCTTTTAAAATAAAACGGTCAAATTTAATCTTATTGATACCATCACTTAATGATTATGTCTTCTTGAATCTATGAAAATTTCATTAATTTTTAAATCCTAGAAATATGAGAAGAATCCCTCCTTAAGTGTGTTAAAAGCTAGATTTTACCTTAAAATGTGCTGTCAAATCCAGTAAAAATGTACAGATTCGCCTTTTTTAAAAATCTATGATGGAAATGGAAACAGTGTTCCCAAAGTATAATACGTAATAACGTTTTACGGTACAACATGTATCAAAATATAAAGATGCTTACATGTAAATAGAAAACGCCAATAAATGAAATCAATATTTTTTCAAGTTCAAAAAATAAAGAGGGGGCTTATATCTTATTCACTTCTGCTCCAAAACTTACTGTGGAATTTTGTACAGTGTTTCTTCGTGCTATAAACCTTTAATTAACTGTCAGTAGATAGTATAAGCTACATTATTTTATTCGAATTGATCAGTCAGCAGTGGCAAAAATTCGATTTAGACTGCGCTTGCGCGGGATTTCATCTAGTTATGATAAAATATGGCGAATTAAAATAGAAGCAGATCAAAATTTGGCAGCCCATGCAGTTGCACGTCAAACAAAAGGCGAGTAAAATTTCCTATGTTTAAAAAGGAGGTTTCAACATAAAATTGTCTATCCAATTTTTTTTTTAATTTTGTAAATTACAATTATTATTTTTTCCTTAATTATTACATTTTTTACAACTATAAAAATAAATCAATAAATCGTGGTATTGAAGTTTTTTCTTTGCCTTCACACGTTTTACCAGTATGTGCATATGTACGTGCTTTTAGAGTGATTCACTTGTCCGGACGATTCATTTATCCGGTCGATTTTGTTCGAGACGGAGGCGTCCGGATTAATGAGGCGCCACTATACATGTATATGACAAACTTAGCCTCGCCCTTGGGTCTTAACCCTACACCCAGGAGACATATATATCCCGTTAAACTTACTAGAATTGGATAGGGCTAGCTGCTCATTTCAATTAATTATGCCAATAATGTAAGTAAGCCAATAATGTACGTATTAGTACTAAATGTCTGTGAGTAAAGAGGAAGAATTTTAAATGTGTAATGTATTTTCAATGTTTAACATTAAAGACCCTCCCTGTGGCCTGATATCTGAACACAAAGTTCACAAATATGGTACCTATTTACTGACTAGATGTTCAGGAGAAGAGGAGATTTACATGGTTTTTAGGCCTCCACGGAAGGGAACATGAATTCAGACGGCAGACGGGAACGGATAGCAAAAAGACTCATGTGATCTAAGAACTTGCGCCCCCTCCCCCCCCCCCCCCCAAAAAAAAAACCAAACAAACACAAACAAAACAAACCAAAAATCAAAATTAAAAAAATGGAATTTATTGAAGGCGACTTTCAAACATAAGGTCCACTGCGAAAAGTTTAAGAACTTATTGACAATACCAGTGAAACACTGCTGGGAAGAACTTAATCATAGATAGTATCAATGAACATGTTCGGATAAAAAAGTAAAATTTTGCTATACATGTTTCATTTAGTTGATTATGTTTGAATCTTCACATAGTTCGTCAATAAATTTGATGTGTTCATTGCTTGCTCTAGTGGCATGTTTTCTATACTGAATTAGGAGTGGCATTCCTTCTGTATCCAAGTTACTTTTCTGATGGACTTGGTTAGCTATCACGTCATGGCGTGGAGAGTCTTCGCTACCACTGTCCCTTGGAGAGTTCGATTCCATGGAAACGAAACCAGTTTCCACACTACACTGGGAAGATGTTGAACATATATTTACTTTTGTTGCAGCAGTCTTTTCTGCGTCGATCTCATCGTCATTTTCACTACCATCACTGTTTTCTTTATCAACTGAAGAGTTGGTATGTATATTTACATTATTGCACGAAGAAAGTAAATATCCCTTTTGCAAACCATCAATAGATTTAGTATTATTTAAGGGACATTCTTTGTTTTGCGCCTCCAGCTCTCCTCTCTCAGTTTGAGCGAGAGAAAATTCATCAAGACTATTATCTTGAAGACATAACACGTCATCCGTAAAGCCACACATAGGATTGAGTGTTTCGATGCAAGCAACTGTTATACACTCATTCGTGGTCACATTTTGTTCCTCTGAAGCAGTGTTTGTCGCTTGTTTGAAACGAAGCGTATCGTATGACGGAGGAGGCTCGTCCTGTCGCTGGAGAACAATGTCGTCATAAAGAGGCGGGGCCATACTCAAGGGTAGTCCAAGATTATTCGTTATGGTCCACTTGTCTCCGTCTTTCTTTGCACTGACTGTGATGCTCATACTCCTCATCCTACTGTTAAAGTAGTGTCAAAGGTTACATTTATTCAATCTATAACTATTATCATATACTTTTCAAAACAATGTATGTTGTTATTTTTTCAATAAACGTTAACAGACTAAGAACATTTAAAGTAAAAATATATATGGCACGCCAAATTCACAAAAAATGAGCTAAACATAGTTTCACAGTTGATAAACTAGGTTTATTGACTGTAAACTATAGTTTACGGACCGTAAACCATAGTTAACGACGTTAATCTATATTGCACATCTCTAAACCATAGTTAACGCCTTAATCTATGTTTCACAAGTGTAAACTATACTTAACACCGAAAACAATCATTTGCGATTGCAAAACATAGTTTATCTGATAAATACGGTTTCACGATTTGTAAACTATGGTTTACAACTTTAGACTAAAGTTAACGTATGTTAATTCTAATTTACGGTTGTAAACTATAGTTTACAAATATTAAAGGCGCATATATATAGTTTTACAGTTGGGAAACACAGTTTAATGCCAGAATCTCTGATTTTGTATCGGAGATGCACAGTTTTCTGTATTTTACGACTGTAAAAGTATACTTTACGATCAAAACTATAGTTAACAATAGTTTTGTCCATAAATAAAAGATAGGTTAATTCATGCCCTCGGAACCGGGGGGTGGGGGAATAGTGATCTATATATCGGCAAAATTATTGGGGGGCACGGGGGGGCGTGCCCCCCCCCCCCCAATAATTTTGCCGATATATAGATCACTATAGAAAACATAGCTACTATATGCTTGTGCCCCCTCAATAATAACGTCTGATGACTTTTTTTTTGCTTGTCAAAGAATTTTTGGTAGTTGATAGTGCCCCTCCAACTGAAAATGTAGGGCTGTGCTCCCCCCACCCCCACCCCCAAACTGAAATTGCTTTCTACGGGCCTGTAATTGTAGTTGCAGCATGATAAGATTTAGCTATACAATGATTATTTTCATTGGTTGTTATATATATATATATATATATATATATATATATATATATATATATATATATATATATATATATATATATATATATATTTCTCGTTGACATTAAAAGTAAATGTTCTTTCATTTTAAAGCAAATCTAGTTGGAAAGAAAAAGAAAAATTATTGATTAAAATGTATGTTTTCTTTAAAAGAGAAAGATAGAGAAAATTGCATTTTGACGGTTTGTAATCAAATTTTTATTCATCAGCACCGGAATAAATAAATGACATTTATCCTTGCCGTCTTTCCAATCTTTTGCGCTGATCAAACAAAATGACTAGCATTGCTGGTATCAAAAGAGTTGTTGAAAGCTTGGCTTATAAATTTAAGATTATCACGAAGAGAATTTACTCATGTAATTCTCTTTATATGTTTCGTTTTTATATAGAACTTATGGCAATGACACACATTCAGTATTTCTTCTAGCGATTGGTGCCGCGAGATTTTGAATTGAAAACTATCATTAACAGTTAACAGGTGTTTAGATTCATAAACTATATTTAACAACTCTTAACTATAGTTTACGAGTGTGAATTATAGTTTATGAAGATAAACTATGATTGGCAAATGTGAATCATAGTTTATCTCTCAAAACTATAGTTTACGATCGTTAAGTACAGTTTACGTCTGTTAAATACAGTTTATGAGAATTAATGACAGTTAACTATGGTTTACGACCGAAATCTATAATTATCGAATGTAAAACATAGTTTATCTGATAAATATAGTTTCACGATTTGCGAAACTATGATTAACAACTCTTAACTATGGTTAACGAATGTAAATTATAGTTTACAAATGAGAATCTATATTTATCAGCAAAATCTATTGTTAACATTTATTTACAGACAGATAAACTTAGATTAGCATTCATAAACTACACTTTACAACCGTTAAATATAGTTTACAGATGAAAACTCATAAACTACACTTTACAACCGTTAAATATAGTTTACAGATGAAAACTATAGTTAAGGAATCGTTAACTATAGTTTACAGTTCGTAAACTATAGTTTACAATCGACAAACCTAGTTTATCAACTGTTAAACTATGTTTATCTAATTTAATTTGAATCTGGAGTGCCATAAATTTAGCTAAGATATTTCAGTCGATGTTGCTTTTGAGCGTGTATCAGTTCTCCCCCCCCCCCCCCCCCCCGTCTCTGTAACAATAAGACATGCGCAATTAAAAGAGACTTACTTCCTGCGGTTGTACCTTCTCAGCAGACAAACAACGACTCCTATTGTTGATAAAAAGAACACAATGGAAATGATAGCTGTCACAACTGCCATCGTTGTGTAATCTAAAATAGAAAGAGCTCTTAAATATGTGATGCCATTTCTGAAATTTTCACTTTTGGAAAAGCAGTCTTTGACTTGCAGTTCTAGGCCTATTTAAGAGTGAAAACGTGGAATAAAAACAATTTCAGGTGATAAACACTAAATGATCAGGTCAACTCATGCAGACTATTCCTCGAAAGGAACCGGGGAGGGGGGGTTACAATATTATAATTTCAATAGATTAAAAAAAAATACCATTTTGAAATACCAGTACCTGATTTCTTTTTCTTTATGCAGTTAATAATGAATCATCTCGAGCCGGAACGCTCTATATTCTGCTTCTAAATTCTGATTTCCCCATATTATTTGAATTATTAAAATAATTCAAACTTAAATAAATATCTTGCATAACTATCACAATTTTTGTATGGCAATTGTCATACAGACTTATTTATTAAGTGTAGATAAATGATGTACGGCAGAACATTCTTAGATTCTTACCTATAAAAGCATTTAAGCATATAGTACGAGGGTATTGTCCCTGTACCCTAGTAGCATAATTAATATATTCATACTTTGAAACAAATCGATTAAAAACTATATCGTTTTATATTTTATTTATAGATTGATTGGGACAATCATTGCTTTGTATAAGATATAATTCAATAGCTAGTTACAGACAGCTTCCCTATATCTCCCAGAGGTAAAGAGGATGGTACCCAATCGCTTCTTCAAAATAACCGAGACCAGAATTTTTTGGAATTTTGATATTCTACTACTTTTCACATACGTCCTAAAGAAGAAGGCTTATTTAGTGTTCTTTTTGTTTGTTTTATTTTTTTAATTACATTTTTTTTCATGTCACTCATTTTCTCTAAGAAACAGAGCCATGCTAAGCGCAAACATCGCCGAATAGTCTATTTAAGAAAAAAAATGATCTGCCTCTTCTACAAATGTTGACCTTCTAGTAAATACCTCAGAAAATGAGATTTGACAAAAACTCATGCCCTGCTATAATTCTTGATTAACTAAATCAAAATAAATCTTCGACAGATTGATACCTTTTAAAACAATGAATTAACTACTAAACTTTCTCTTATAGAAAGCATTTTATAGAAAGAAAGTAAACCTAAATAAACCTACCCCTCCATCCCACCCTTAGCCCGTAGGTTTTCTAGATAATTTTTTACTTCACCTAATTCTTAAATCAAAGTCAAATTTAAAAAAAAAGGGGGGGGGGAGTCAGGTTATAACTTGAAAACTTTGACATTAGGATTTCAAACAGATACGACAAAAATGAATTGTGATCCACTGCACCAAAATCTGGGACCTTGGTCCATTTTTTAATCAACGTCAAAATCAATTTAAAAAAGATATCCCAGTTAAAGTTGGGAACTCTTTGACATTTAGACTTGCAACATAAAAGCACTGAACTTTCTCTGCCTTCGTACCAGTTTTTTTTTTAAATTTAATCATTAAACCACCTTGTAACTTGAATGAATGTTGATTATTGCGAACTCAGAGTAAATGCTTGATCAACGTGAATTATTTTTCGTATTTTTCAATTGTTTCAGAAAAATGGAATATTAATCAGTTATAATGGATCATTGGACATTGTAATTTTGGCCGTCTTTGCTGTATTACGTACAAGTGTACTTCCAGTCCGCGGTGATGACGTCGTCACAGGTTTCCTCGTCACTGACATCCCCCTCCCCACAGTTCTCTTCTCCGTCACACCACACTGAGTACTGAACACATAAGTTCTTACCGGAACACCTCCCATACAGGCGTGGACACGACCCATCTCTTTGGACATCTAATATAAATTAGGTATTAAACATTATCGGCAATCAGTTTTAGAATTCAGAGAAATCAAGCAAATTATAACAATAACCTACGTACATGTAGTTTTAAACAAGATGGGTGAACATGACGAGCGAAAAGCCTATAGTGTGACAAACATGAAGGTGAAAAATTAAATCTCAATTATATCAAAATTTTCCTTGATATTTCATCTAACATTAAAATATACTTTATATAAAATCTCTACAAACAGCAAAAAAATGAAAATTGAAAATATTTGCTTATGAAATATTATACACACACTAAAGAGGCCAAAAAGATTCATTTTCTCATACTATAACACTATTTTTCGATATGAGTGGGTCTTTGCTCCATTTATTTGAAAGTTAATCCTCAGAGTTTACATAAAAATAAACATTTTTGGGTTACCAAAAAATATGGAGCAAAGACCCATTTTACCTTAAAAATATACTTTTATGACATAACATACGCATCTTTTCGAAAAATACTTGGTCCATTAAGTCAAGGGTCATAATATAATTTAACGCACGCTCCTTTCTTTGAATTCAATTCACAAATTTTAATGCAGTACCTATAAATTGCCATACTCTACAACGGTTAAAAAAAATCTTAATCATTATTTCCCTGTACTGCTATGGTTCCTAATTAATTCTGCATAATTCTTTGTACGTAATAAAAGAACCCCACTGGCCACAATTCTCACCTGAGTCATACTGGCCCTGCTATTCTTCAGAAGATTTTCAAAGCATGTGCTCCCCATTTTTTCCCAAGAAAAATCTTGAAATATTTGTGGCCCTACTCTAGCCCCCAGGTATCATTAAATTCACACACCATAGGAATGCTTTTTTATTCTATTATTATTAATATAGCCTTCCTGTTCAAGTAGATTTTAAAAAGATTTTCCCCTGTATATCGACGTGCATTATGTAAAATTGGATATTAGCCCCATCGTAACCCCAAAGTCTATAATCCGAAGAAAAAAATTTGAATCTACCTAACTTTTGAATGTTTACATATTAATATAATTTTAGTGTGGCCCTGCTATTCGCGATCGTGAAAAGATTTGTTAAAACGTCTAATTCTCCTGTAAAACTCGTATTGTGGCCCTCACGTTACGCCTCGAGAGTCATGATTAGAAGAAACGTGAATATACACTAGATATGTCAGGAAGCTTCAATATAAGTTTCATCTTTTCTAACCCAGATGTTATTGAGAATTTTTTAAAAGAATGCAAATCTATTTTTGCCTTTTTATTGGTTATATCCCTTTCAAGAGGGCCTGTGTTTCCTGTCATTTGAAAAAAAACTTCAATTTCCTTTACCCAATGATGCTCTGTGGCAAGTTTGTTTGATATTGGTCCGCGGTTCTGTGTAATAGATGGAGAGTCAGACGGACAGACAGGTAATCACAAAGTAATTGATCCTTTCTGTTCAGATGAGCTAGCATGTCAAAAGTTTGACTGATTTATACGATTGCATAAAAATTTCAAAATCTAATTAAAAATACAATGTATTAGAATTTGTAAAAATATTTTTCATGTGATCTTGATACATTTATATAATATTGAAAATGATCGCCCCTGGAAAGCCATTTCAACATCGGCTGCGCCTCGATGGACAATGGTGTTCCTGGGGTGAACATTTTTTAACTTTACCCTCAACTACATGCATTATTTATATAATTATGCACTAATGAGTATTGGTAAATAAAAACCTCGTGAACCACATGAAAAACTATATTCTGCTATTCTGTTAAATTGGTTTTTTATGTTGATACTGAGGTCTATATCAGTAAACAAGAGTTCTATTTCTATTCATGCTTTGGTTTATCCTAAGTATGTTGGTACCAATAAATCCATTCAATATTTTTCCTTTTATGACGCCTGAGATTTTAAATTTACATTTTTCAGGATCTCCAAAACTGGGTTTATCAAAAATGCTACAAACATGTGATAGTTTTTTCATTGACAAACAAGCTTGGTAAGTATAGAACTACATGCACGTCTCTGATATCTACATGTCTACGGATCTTTTCTACGCTTGTCACGGTTCACACTTTGGTAAAAGTGTTAGTGATAATGATTTGGTCAGTTCAAACAACAATTTATACCTTTAACAGATGTAATCAGGATGTCAAATCCACTGTATGTGAGTGTTGGAGAACCAACATATGTCAACCGGAAACGATTGCCTGTAGAAATGTAATCCCCAACACCGATACTTGCGCGTTTGTAAAATTTGTCATAAATTCCAAAGAGGCCGCTTGCTGGAGTTACCATCTGTGCTTGTCCCTTTGAATCAAAGTCGTAAATATGCAAACTGAAAGAAATTTAAAAAAAAAATCGATATATCATATATGTACATGTATTTGGAAATGCAAAACTTCATTCATTTCAATATACCAAATCTCCATGTTTTCCTTATGAAAAATTTGGATATATCACAACATATATATATATATATATATATATATATATATATATTGGATAGCATGCATTCATTTACATGACAAGAAGAACGTACTTATCCGGCGTATCGTTTTCTATACTGATGCTCAATGATATGAAGTGAATCAGAAGCCGTCCATCAGGCTCTGTTACGAGGTCAGACGTACAATGCAGCTGTTGGAGGGGTCTGTCGCTCAGAGGCTGGTTTGTTAGTTTGAATGCAATGCTGTCCTTTACAAAAATCTCACGCTTTGTATTACAGTTGTTACTCATAAACTTTCCTGTCGTGATGGCCTCTACGAAAAGTCCTGTAATTGAAATAATCATTTTGTAATTATGCCTAAAAAATTTAGCTTCCTGGAATATCCCCTCACAATGTTCTGACAGTGACTTCTGATAATGACGAACGGGAACAAATGACTTCACTCTTTTTTCTTTGCAGACTTATTAAAAGAATTTGTTGGGATTGGAAGTCAATTGAGCTTCTGCGTTAAGCTGTGATCGAAAAATTAACGAAACTGTATGATAATAGACTAATTTGCCTTTACACTGGTTTATATACATGTAAAATAAGTACATGAACAGTAACACATCTTCATAAACCACGGTCAATATGTACGATCCTCTCCTATTAAAGAGTTATATACTCCGGACCGTAACTTGAGACGATGACAGTAACGTAGCTTATAAATCAGTCATTTTAAATTATTTATTATAAATACATGTATCTGTTCAATAGAGAATGTTTTTTAACAGTTATGTTTAAGAAAAATGTCACGTATGACGGTTATCTTCAAAAATTAATACCCTTTAAAACAATTGCTGTAAGTTTTTAAAATGGCAGCGAAGCAGAAAATATGTTCACATAAGCAATAAATCAAAAGATCTAAGAGGGTTCGTCTTTTCGGCTGCCGGAAAGTTGCATTCATTTAACTTTATGAGTCTTTTGTCAGGATGCTTTGAATTTCTTTATGATTTGCCTCTACTTAAAACGTCCATATGAAGTGGAATCCATAGCAGTGAAATATGGTGCTATTGACATTCTTTTCAACACATTAGCAAAATGTATTGTCCCAATAAATTGCAAATTACCGATAACATTTGATGGTATCCGGAACTAAGCGTTTTTCAATCGGTTTCCATAGTGACAACTGTTATTGCTTTCGATTATCAGTAGACAGGAAGTATGTCGATCGACATTTTGTCATCATACCGGAAGTACTCAGAGGAAAATAGAACAGGATTTACTTTGTTAACGATAAGGTTTCTTAGTCCCACCAACTCTTCATCAGTTTCTTATCACGCATCATAAGCATCATGAAATAAAAAATTTACGTGTGATCGATGACACATTTAGAAAAAGTAAAAAAAAAAATCGTGCATTATTCTTAACCCCCCCCCCTCAATTAATTAAAGAAAAAAAAAGAAACCTTGCTGTTTTTTCTTTATTAAGTAAAATATATTTTCGCTCAGTCAATCATTTTGTTATCTTTTTATTTCAAGAACGAGAGTGGTTTAAAAAATTTGTGCTTGATGACAAGTGAAAAGGAGAAAGGTCGAGGTGAAATACATGTATATTCATTTTTAACTTTTGCTGTTAACGATATTATTGGAAAGGGCCGGTCCTCTCGATTTGTCTTTAAAATCTAAATATATTCCGAAGCTTGTGTCCCCTCTTTGCAATTACATAGAAAATCCAGTGTTTACAAATATTATTTCACTGATCGCGTTTCAATGAACAACTATTTGGTGTACTAGACTAAGACTTCAGTTGTTTAATTTACTGTTATTCCGGAAATAACGAACTCCTAAACTGATTAAAATTGAAAAAATCTTTGCATAGTTAGATAAATATTTGTTTGATTAGAAATCACTGCTATGCCTCATAGAGTTATTATAATAATTTATGTAAATGTTTAGACAGCTTCATTTAGATGTTTGTCCTTTGAGGCAAAGGACTATGCTTGTCAATATAACGAGTAATTCAATATCATGACGGCAAAGATAGAGAATTGGCATATATATAAATATGTGTAACTTTGCACCTACCTAAGTTAGAATGGCTCTCGGGGACTTTAATCTTATCAAATCTAGAAGAAGATTTTTAATAGTCACTTAAATACCTCTTTGATATCACGCCTTTTTAATAAGAAATAGTTTGAAGCCATTGTGCAGTTTCTTGTACATAATTTTGATTTTTTGAATGAAGAAATGCCTACGTTTTCGCCTCAAGAATGTGCATGAATATCGCTTGCACAAATTCCTGTGAAAATTTATGTATGACTTTATATTATATAGATACACGATTAAAAGTATAATCGGGTCAGATTCTGCATTTCAACTACTTACTCCAACATTAATTCTAGGCATGTTGCAAACTTTCTTCCAATGTCAAAAGTGCTTAAATTATATATATATATATATATATATAAATATAAATATATATATATATATATATATATATATATATATATATATATATATATATATATATATATATATATATAATCATGGTTTATTCGTAAATCTACAGCGATGGCACCAATAGTAAAATCTTATCCTTTAATTTGGATTTATCTCTCTCATATTCACACTAACAATAAACACTCTAACTCGTGTTCCTATTGTGAACAATCCCATTAGGAAAATATCTAGAGGATTTTGCGCAACAGGTATACGTAAGATATGGAGATTATCGTTAATACTGGATTAACAGGTATATGTAAGATATGGAGATTATCGTTAATACTGGATCAACAGGTATATGTAAGAAGTGGAGTTTATCGTTACTAATTCACCAGTGACACTAATTTCCAAGCAATGCCGATGACAGAAAAGATAAAAGAGAGAGAGAGAGACAGAGAGAGAACACAGGTACTTGTGGACAGGACCCCCCCCCCCCTTCCAATATGCCCCACAGGTCAAAAAATATTTTTATGTATTTTTTTCATAAATTATTCTTCTAGTACACATTTACAATGTATAATTCCATAAGAAAAATCCAAAAAATAACGCAGAATTAACGTTTTACTAAAAAATCATACCCGCGGTATTATACCGCGGGTATGATTTTTTAGTAAAACGTTAATTCTGCGTTATTTTTTGGATTTTTCTTATGGAATACATTGTAAATGTGTACTAGAAGAATAATTTATGAAAAAAATACATAAAAATATTTTTTGACCTGTGGGGCATATTGGAAGGGGGGGGGGGGTCCTGTCCACAAGTACCTGTGAGAGAGAACAGAAAATATCACAGTACAGGGATGCCCACTACCGCCCAGCCCGGGGGTTGAAGTCTCAGTCTGCTGAACCTGTCCCCTAACAGTGCAGGAACAGTGTGCTAGACCGCTAGACCAACTAGTCAAAATAAAAACTTGCTTTCGATGGCGATAGAATCCTCGCAGCCCCACCCTATACTACACGGTCATGGAGAATCTCTCTCTCTCTATATATATATATTCTCCAGGCTTCAATCTGGGATAGAAGAATATTGCAGTACTGTTGAACGGAACAGTTATGCATTTATATCATTTGATCAATCGCTGTCTTCTATGCATATATTAAATCGCGATCTTGTATAAATGACAATGGTTTAACTATTGAACAATATGTTGATTTAAATGAACAAATCAGAACGTTTATGACGCGTTAAAAGGTAGATCTATATTATCGTGAGGTGCTGAAATGTAGGTATGGGTACAAAAATTCAACGATTAGTATGCATATGTATACAAATATGCAGGACTTGTATTATTTATCATAAAATAAAGAGATTTCATAAAGAGCATTTCTCTCTTTGCCTGGAAAATCCCAAAATAGGAAATCAGGGTGGCTTTTGTCCACTCTTCAATTGATGTGGGGAAACCATTGATTTTCTATTGGTTTTACTGCAAACAACACAAGGCTTCGTTAGCGGAGTGAAATCATCAACATTACATTTATAGGTAACAAAATCGCATGATTCGGCCGGCCATGGCGTAAAAATATTGAACACAAATTTTCCATTAAAAGAGTATTTATTTCAGATTCCGTCAGAAGTGCATTGAAAGATTGTTGTGAATAATGGTTAATTAATCGAATAACATGAGGACCGCTAGAATTGTACTAAAAGGTGTTATCGAGGAAAACGTTTACTTCTATTGAAATCTACTATATAGTCTTAATCTTATCAATTCCACAAAATGACATCCAAATAAAAGGAGAAAAGAACACTTTTAACAAGAAAGCCAACACTGCGTATTTCAAATTCCAGAGGATATAAGAAGTTTTTGGTAATTTATATAGAGGAAAATACATAAAATGGAACTCATTAAAAAGCACGAAATTACTTCAAATGTCCATCAAATATTACACACTTACTTCACAGTATTTGTCAATAAATAGTAACTTCTGAAAAATTGACATTTCAATATAATTTAGATGTACTTTTGAGTATCATGATATTTTATAAATTAACACGTATCTCTAATATACTGTGCATACATTTAGAAAAAAAAATTAGGATGTTACCCGACTCTTACAAAGATTCTATATTCATTAAACCCCCCTCTCGTTATATATATATATATATATATATATATATATATATATATATATATATATATATATATATATATATATATATATATATATATATATATATATATATATATATATATATATATATATATATATATATATATAGATAGATAGATATAGATATATAGATAGATAGATAGATAGATAGATAGATCGATCGATCGATAGATAAAATTGTGTGTTTCTTTGGAAGAAATGTACAAGTCGAAAATATTTTATCTGAAATGTAGTTTAGATAATGTGGATATACTGACTTCGAAAAGAAATTTTATTAAACTTGTACGCATATTTTAGCTTTTAATAAATTTTATAATAAAACGAACTAACCTGTGAAAATTAAAAGGCAACTTCTAAGTAAATGATTGTCCATTCTGAGAGTTGACCGTACAGGCTATGAATGTCCTGTAAACACTTGTTGACTTTTCTCAGTTGGACGAGACTTGTGTAAATGGACCTCAAATCTGACTTTGCATAAACACCTTTTTAATATTCCCTTTTCATATGTCACACGCTGATATCCAAAGAAAGAGGCGTTCGTCATTACTTCATTTCCTTTATCTCATTGGGTTGAAGCCTTGGTCACGTGGCTAGCTTTAAATCCTGAATCCAGTCAGGTTTTACATTTAGAAAGATTTAATTGATACACACTGGAGTTTATGCGAAGTCAGAATCGATCTTTAAGTGGATGTTTCGCAGAAGAATAATTATACACTTTAATATGTTTGCGAATTTTCGCGTTGAAATGTTAATAAATGCACAACTTCGCAGTCGTTCAATTTAAATCAATTGAACAAGCATTAAAAGAACGATTGTATATATATATATTTTAATTTCAGCTGATTTGTACAATACGCTTTGATTCTATTACTGTGTTGATGAATTATGGGAATGGATTATTCTTTCTAATTAAAATCCTCTTTCAGAAATTTAAACCCCTTACCGGCTGTACAAAAGCCAATATGGCGTATGGCCGCCGCTGTAAGTATTGCAAACAATAATATTTCACGTTTATTAAGTTTGATTTAAATACCAAGTATATGTACCCATTGAAAGCCATCTTTTAAATCAGTCGCGATCGTATCGCGTCAGGAAAAAAAGAAAATATTATCTTTCATCAAAATCAAAATTCTTACGATAGAATTTCCTATCGATATTTTAATTACTGGGTTGGTGGGGGGTTGAAATGGTTAAGTTTAAACTCAATCCGTGTTAAAAACATCAATGTAAATTGCAATTAAAACCGCGTTTTTACAAAATAGCAACAATTTTCCAAGTTCTCTTTAGCGGTATTCATCTTCACAATGTCAAGGGGTTGTAATACCGACCACACCAACACTGGGTTGTGAAGAGAAATGATATCACAAAACTTTGACATTGTGAAAATGTCGAGGGCTGTTTATTCTACTTTCTTTGGAATATCTTTTGGTGAAATTTGGCATATACGTTTAACAAACGTTAACGATAAATAAATAGAAGCAAGAAATATTTCAGAAATATTTAATTTTTCCTTTTCTGTGGCATATCAATGAGTCGATGTTAGAGTTAACCGGCACAATCACAAAATCAGATAATGAAAATCATTAACTTCTACATACTTAATTCCGGTGGACCTGCAGTAAGTGGGAAAATTATTTAAGTATGTATGTATTATTTCATTTTTTATCGACATTATTTTATGCAAATTTGAAAGAATTTAGACCAGAAATACGGAGATCATAAAATTAAATAATTTTCATCTCGGCATAGAAATCTGAAAATGACAGCAAAACGAATTTTAACGTCAAGGCGGAGCAGCGAGCTTACCTAAAATGTTGGTTTATCGCTAAGGACTGTCCAGACTAAACGACCTGTTAAAACAATAGAATATACTAACTAGAAATTTTGTACATTTGTTTTATTTGTTCTTTATAAATTGTTGAAGAATTTTCATGATATCTATCTCCTTTATGGAGTAAAGGTCAATGTCTTAATAATTTCACCATCGTATATTGGCGCCCTTTAATTTGCACTCTCCCTCTAATTTGTGGATTTTTACAAAATACGTTTTTATTTGTAAGATCGTAGACATGCTGAATTTCCAAAAAATTTGATGCCTCTTTTCTGAAAAATTACAGACCTGTATGGATAGCAGACATGCTGTCTTTAGATTTTGTGGAATAAGAGTAGGAAAATATAAGCAGTTTGATGTACAAATTTAGGGTTGAACGGTAGACAAAACGAAATTTTCCATAATATAGTTGAAAATATTTTAAACAGTGTATCAATAATGTATTCACCATTAATTTATTTATAAAATGCACAACCTAAAACGAATAAATATATCAATAATTGAATACTATTGATATCCGCCATCAGAGTAGCACTTGTTAAAAGTATATTGTTTTTAAAATAAATATACCTTGATTAATTAATTAATTAATTTGTTTGACAAATGCTACAATGTCTTGAAAACGTTTTCCCCGAAAACGAGCAACTTGTACCACAGGCTGGTGTAACCCCCCCCCCCCTTAATTCTGAGAATTTTTATTAGACACGATAACTTAGCAAAAATACACGAATTCCTAGTCTTTCATACCAATATTCCGGTATCTTATATCATTTTCCGTTTAGGATTCTGCAATACAAACACAAACTGTTAACGTACAGTAGTCTTTGATTTAAAAAAAAAAAAACATACCAAAACCGATCGAGCTTTTTTGAGGCAAGTGATGCACTATACAAGACGTAATAATAACAATTGTTGCACAAGATTTATTCGTTTTAACAATAACATTTTAATGGTATAACTAAAAACAACAACAACGATTCACCTTAATGTCATTTTTTCGCCTTTCTAAAGTTCTCACTTCCGGTCTGACCTGTCTCTTCTGGAGACATCAGCTCGAGTCTGTGTCCGGTGACGACTGTATCTTCCAAATTATTGCTGAGCAAGTCAAAATCAAATCTGCCGATTTATAGCTCACTAATAAATGGGTGTGGCATTTGTCCCTTGCATATAGTCCACGTATTACTGCTGTCGTGTCATCAGTCCATTGGCTCCTCTTCATTCTCACTAGGACTAGATGGTACACCTCGAACATCCACGGCTATTCCGCTTTTGATGAAATCGGCATATTCTAAATTAAACTTTGCTTCTCTGAACTTCATGATCTCGTCTGCTTTCAGAAATGTATAGTCGTAATAAGTAAAAATGACTCCTTTCAGAGTGATGATCCTGTGTCGGAGGTTTTGTTGGTATAGGGCGTTCTCAGCTCTCTCAGCTGTTTGGTATCTGATCTTTAATTCCTTCATTTTCCGCTTCATGTGAAGGATTTGTTCCTTGGCTTTATAGAACTTGACCTCAGCGTCTGTCAGTTTCAGAGATATTATTTCCTTTTCCAGTTTTAGTCGGAGATCATCCAGATCCATTACAGATGTTGAGTCGCCAACCTTCTTGTTTACTTTAAATAAATGTCTGAGAAATACGTACTTTTTATGTGAACCTGACAGAGTAACAATTTAGCACCTTGTTATGGCCCCCAGTAATCACCAAGTTTAAACAGGTTTTAACGCGTGTTTTAATTTTTTATCACCTTGTCCTACCAAGATTAGTTTCAGCATGACAAGTGTAATTAGAAAAGCACCCTTATGGGCAACGCCATTAATGAGGAGGTAATTAGCTATTGTAATCTAATAATCGACAAATAATTTAATACATATATATGATTAATTTCTCTTGGTGTAAACAACTTTAATATTAGTTATTATTGACCGATATACAAAATTCTAAAATGATGCTACATTATCAAATATCACTCAGGGGTGGATTTAAGGCAAATGAGCACCACCTCCTCCACCCCTCTGTATTTCTGCTAGAATGTTATTCCAGTTTATTATTTCCATAATTTTTGGACTATCCATTATTTGTGGGCAATATTATTGGTGTTGACGTTGTCCTGTCCATCTCATTCATTTTCTTACCAGTGTTAGATCTTTAATTTCATCATTAGGTACATATATTTTCATAGAATCATAAACACTAATTGTCAATGTCGTGATTCATATATTCACCTGTCTAACTGTGTCTCGGGACAAGCCCTCACCACAGTTAGAATACGTCCCATATATATACTTGCAATGTAGCAAATCGGAGTGGATCCACTCCGAAATGGTTTGAAGAATACAAAAGGAGTTGCACTGAAAATAACTACCAAATTAATCATAACAAACCTTTTTGAGATTGTATATGCCTTTAAACCTAAAAAATAATCCATATAAATACGAAAATTCCACTCAATTTGTCAGCGTTTTTTCCTCGCTTCGAATTTAACGCCATGTTGTCATTCGGAACTCTCTGGATTGTTCATAGAAAATGCACAGAGTTCGAGATATCGCCCGTGTTTATTTTGCAACATTGGCAATATACACGGAACGAATTCTATCGTTAAACTGTTAAACGGGGTCCGTAGGACAATATCACCCTGTATAATACTAATTCTTTATTGCATAATACACCCATATGGGTCAAGCAATACAATTCATAATAAGAAAAAAAAACAAAGAACAATGAATGTATTTATACAATAGGCGCAATTTAAGTAATTTACCCCTTATATGTCACACCGATGTGGACCTTTTATTTCTTAAAGAGGCTGGGGGGTTGTGGCCATTTTTAGACTATATTGATCTCCTTTAGAAGAAGAGCTCCATATGAAGATATAGAAAATGATCAAATTTTAAAACTAAAATTTTTGAAATTTTTCTTTGCCAAATGATAGTTGACAGCTTAAGATATCATATCTAAAAAATTAAGTTAAATCTGGTGGTTAATTTGTGGTTAATTTGTTGACCCCCCAGCCTCCTTAATTCTAATTGTTTTATAAAAGTGAAAACAGCCGGTATAACTTCAATTGTTGGGCTAAGTATATATTCAAGTTTCTGTATGGGTGATTTGAGATAGAATGAGGAACAATTATCTAACATGGTTTTTATAAGTATATTCCTTGCTTGTATATTCAAATTACATTGTAAAAAGAAATGAAATTCATCATCAATAATATTACATGAAGTGCATAATCTTTGTTGTCGAGGTATTTTCTTATGTCTACCAGTTTCAATCAGTAGGCAGTGGTCACTTGTTCGAAACTTAGTTAGTAATTGTCTATTCTTGAAACTATTTTCAAGCATAAGATATTCTTCCATATTAAGATTGTGTTTTATTTTACTGTACAAATACAGTTTGGAGTTTTCTGTGAATTTGGATACTTTTTCCATAGTTTTGCCTTTATAATTATCTAGTACTATTTTCTTCAACTTCTTTCTAACCGAATTTCGAATGTTGTCAATTTTTTCATTTTTTTTCCCCTGTAGTCATTGCTATTTAAATTATTTTCTTTAAATAAAGACAGTGCGAGGGTATGCCACGAGTAAAATCCCTCTTCATGCAAAGACATATTGATATTATATGATTCTTCAATCATGGGGTTTACATTCTGAGAGTTTAGTCGTACAAAGTACATCATAACTTGAGTTTTAATAAAAGAAGAAACTGGAAGTCTACCTAGATCACACAAAGATGAAATGTTGCATGCTGTTTTGTTGAGTCCTAGAACTGTTTTACAATATCTAGCATGTACTTTTTCATAGACAGATTTTTCTTGTAAAGCGAGATTATCACATGAGTTGTTATTTTTCATTGCTCTAATTATTGCTCTGTATGAAGGAAGATAATTAAATTTATTTTGCTACGAAAACTATGGATTCATCTCCCCATAACTGTTGATGTCAATTTACATTACTAATTATTAGCAGTGCATGCATTCGTCATAAAACATCTATCTTCAAAAATAATTTCTGCATACAAGGATAAAGGTGATGATTATCCTCAGTCTTTATATTCACAAGACTTGTTCTTCTTATAGGGTCCTAGACAATTAAGTTTATTAAATTTGATTAACGGTGACAATATGACTGTGTTTGAAGAACTTGACTGCGAAATATCCGAAAAAGAAATACAGGACGCCATATCTAAACTTAAAAAAGATCAATCTCATGGAACAGACTTGTTGATTAATGAATACTTTATTGAGTTTAAACAATGTCTTCTCCCTATTGTACATAATTTGTTTAACAGAATTTTGTCATCAGGCATTTTCCCCCATATGTGGGCCAAGTCGGTAATTGTTCCTGTATTGAAAAAAGATGATAGGTTAGATCCAAATAATTATAGAGGCATCAGCTTAATTAGTTGTTTTTGCAAACTCTTTACTACGATTCTAAATAATAGACTCATCGAATGGACTAAGGTTAATGATATCATTACAGATGCTCAATTCGGGTTTCAACCAAGGGTGGGCACTGCCGAAGCAATTTTTAGTTTGTCGACAATTATCAGCATGTCTTTACGTAAGAAAAAACGATTATATTGTTGCTTTATACATTTTAAAAAAGCATTTGACACAGTAGAACGCTTTAAGCTTTGGAAAAAACTAAGTATGTACGGAATTAAAGGGAAATTACTAAATGTTATACGCGCTATGTACGAGAATATGAAATCCTGTGTGAAATCGGCAAGAATGCTATCAGAGGTTTTTGAAAATTCTCTTGGTCTCTTACAAGGAGAAGTTCTGTCCCCTATCCTTTTTTCATTGTATGTAAATGATTTTGAAATTGAGTTTATAAAAAATGGTAATGTTCCTCTTGAACTTCAAGAATTGAATCTTTTTACTTTGATGTATGCAGATGACATGGTCTGTTTTGCGGAATCTGTACAAGATCTACAACAAATGTTAAATACTTTGTATAATTACGCCTCGAAATGGGATCTGACCATTAATGTTGAGAAAACTAAAATTGTTGTTTTTAGAAATAAGGGAAAGGTTCATGATAATGAAAAGTGGCATATACATAATGAGCAAATAGAAGTTGTAGATAAATTTATGTATCTGGGTGTTTTATTGAACTACAATGGAAATTTTAACGTAACTCAAAAACAATTGACATGTCAAGGAAGAAAAGCAATGTTTTGTCTAAAATCTAAGGTTAGTCAATTGAGTTTAAATACTGAAACTATGTTCTCACTTTTTGATACATATGTCAGTAGCATACTAAACTACGGCTGTGAAGTTTGGGGAAACCACAATGCATGTGATATTGAAAAGATACATCTGGAATTCATTAAGAATGTTTTATATGTTAGAAAAAAACACAAACACGGCCATGATATATTTCGAAACAGGCAAGACTGCCTATGAAGACTGTACGGCAATTCCGGATTTTCAAATTTTGGTTTAAAATATTACAAAGTAAGAATTGTATTTTGAGATCATGTTATGAGAAAATGTTAAAGGAAATTGAACAACCAATGAACAAGATCACGAACTGGGCTTCCAATATTAAAGATAAATTATTCGAAATTGGGTTAGGTTACATGTGGACTGACCAAGAAAGAATTTGTTATAACAGCCATTTCTTGATTATAAAGCAAAGAATTATTGACACCTATGTACAGAATCTCCTTGCAGATATCAATAGTTCATCTAGATGTATGTTATTTAAGAATATTATTGACCACTTCACACTGCAATATTATTTGGTAAAACCTATTCCTTCCATTTATAAAAAGCAAATTAGCAGGATAAGACTGTCATCACATAATTTAGCTATAGAAAGTGGACGCCATAAAAATATATTACGCGAAAATCGAATATGCGAATTATGTAGATGTGAAATTGAAGACGAATTCCATTTTGTTTTAAAATGTCCACGATATAGGGATTTACGAGCAAAATATATTAAAAAAATTTACTGGGAAAAACCATCTATGTTCAAATTCATACAGTTGTTATGTGCACACAATGTTAAGGACCTTTGTAATTTGGGAAAATTTCTGTACCATGCTTTTAATTTACGTAATGAATGTCTCACTGTCTTATAAACACATTATATAAAATGGTTTGTACATTCTCCACCATTAAACTGATTGTATAATTATTATGCTGTTAAAAAAAAAAACACCTGCGCTATGCCTTACTGTTTATATGTTATAAATTTATGTTGTATACAATAAGATGTATGTCTTACGTAATAAAGTGAATTGAATTGAATTGAAAAAAAACTCGAATTTTAATCAGTAGTGGAGTATATGCATGATATAGTCCACTAGTGATACACAAGCTCCCTTGAAGGGATATAGGTAGGTAATTGTTAAACAAATAATGGGTGACCAGTGCCCCTCTTGACATTTCTATCACTGTGACAATAAATTAGCAGAGTAATTTAGCAGATCAACAATTATCCATTTCACTATTTGATATACAGTTTATAGATTTGATTTAAAGAAGCATTCTCTTAATTCATTTGATAATTTTTCACACGTACTCCTTCATTGAAAGTAACTAATTTTGTAGATATGTATATAATACACTTTGCTGTATCCAAAAATTGATAAAAAAAAATAAATAAATAAAATACCCAAACAGGTTGAAATGATGATATTACAAGCACTAATTAAATATTATTAAAATGATTTGATTTTGAACATATTTTATTGTATATTACATACAAAAGGATCGATTGGATACAAGTTTTTTTCAACTTAATAGATCCCCTCCTTGTTATGTACAAACACAATGGTTACTAGATCTGTATATGCATGATTGTCATAACAAATTGGGATAATTTACAAATCATGTTATACATGCAAAAAATAAGATAATAAATATATTGGAAAGGTTAAATAAATACTGGTACCGTAGATATATATTATTTTAGAAGATACACGAAACATTTCTAACTTTGTGCACTTCTGAATGTAATTTACATATAGAAGTGCACAAAATTAGGAATATCAAAGATAGTATATATTACATGTATCATTAATCAAGATTTCTTTTATAGTTATTCTTTCCTTATTTTTTCCGTTTATTTATTTATTTTATTTGGTCGATGAACCCTATTTGTTTTACTTAATGTATTTATGTCTTTGAACAATGTTAGTTTATATGTATATAATTATGGTCGGTCAGGTCTTAAGTAGATATGATCAGTCAGATCTTTAGTAGATATGATCAGTCAGGTCTTAAGTATAGATATGATGGTCAGTCAGGTTTTTAGTATAGAGGTCATCTGTGTTTTATTTTATGCTTAAAAAATATAAGATAAAATTTTTTAATTTAAGTGCATACAATACTTTAAATTATAATTGGTGAAAAGTTGCTTATGTAAATTCGGCTTAGTTTCATCAAGTCAATGCATATTTAATATATATAGGTTCATAAGTTTGTGTTTATCTGTCAGAAATGTTTAATTACTAAGTATTATACCTTAATATTTATAAATTAACATTATATGTATTAAATATTTTTATAAAATGATAACGATTACTGTACAAATGATTTTCATTTGGTCAGGTCATTTCAATTATCATGAAATGAATGGATAAAGACTAAATATTTGGTAAAAATGTTTCTAAAAACATTTTACCTAAACTATCAATCACTATAATAGAGAATATATGTTAAAATTGTATCAAATATTTTTAAAAAGATAACAATTATGAATGATTATCATTTGGTCAGGTCATTTCAAATTTGGTCAGGTCATTAAATTTTCATGAAATGAATGGATAAAGACTAAATATTTGGTAAAAATGTTTCTAAAAACATTTTACCTAAACTATCAATCACTATAATAGAGAATATATGTTAAAATTGTATCAAATATTTTTAAAAAGATAACAATTATGAATGATTATCATTTGGTCAGGTCATTTCAAATTTGGTCAGGTCATTAAATTTTCATGAAATGAATTGATAAATGACAATAAATTTGGTAAAAATGATTGAATAAACCTTTATTCAATTGAATTACACCTTCTGATTAAGAAATTATTATGAAAAAATTGATATAAAAACTCAGAATATTGATATTTGGAGAATTTTTTGTTGGTCAGGTCAGTCAGGTCTTTCGTAGGTCAGGTCTTTAGTATGTTCCTCCATAAACCAGATTTCACTATTAAAGCATAAAAATAGGGCTGTATAATGACTAATAAAGATATATTAGAACTTTCAGCTATTTAAATCGGGATCGATGTACATTATTTCAAGTCCACCTCGCCTTTCACTGCTTTTAGCTTACACTCATAAATTTCCGGTAGATGACGCTCTCGCCGGTGAATTGTAAATAAACTAGTTACCAAGATCTTAGGTATGTATCACTTGAATGCTAATATAAGAATCGTTGTTGTGATATTATCTACGATAAAGTGATGGAGAAAGTGATGGAGCATTGTAAGTATTTTCTTAACACATCTTGAAATTTCCTCAATTTTCCACCTTAAGGATCTAATTTCTATGTACACTGAAGAGCTCCAATTTTACAACTTACTTGTTTACAATTAGATTGATCCTTTGGGTGGATGACAGTATGCAGTTATTCCAGCTAACACCTTTCTTCTATTTGAATAGTTGGATAACTGTCAGTCAAGTTTTTTGGGGTCACAAAGGCATATGGTCCTGTGTACTTGAGGAACACACATGGCCAAACAAATTTTGTCAGACCCAAAATCCCACTGTGAGAAAGGGAAACACGTAAAAATGGAGAACCAGGGAAATCTTATTTACTTAAGGCGGTCCATGCAATTTAAATCACTCTCATTTATATACTTGGATGTGTGTGATATTTTTTTCTTAAAGGTTTTCATGACTCCATGTCAAAAAAGTAAAATTAAAAACCAGACACTGAGACATATTGGACATTTCGATCTGGGGTAAAAAATGACACATCTGACCTGAGGCACTGTACATAGGTCAGGTCTGATGTCTTTTGGAAAGACTTAAAGTAACTTGTGTTTGTGATCCAGTGGCTATCAATGTTTGAATTTGTTATGTGAAGTAAACAATATGATATGAAATTGAATTAATTCTGACCTCTTTGTAACAAGAGTTAAGAATCTATAATTGAGTAAGTAGCATATTATAACCATTAATTCTCTAAAATATTCCTCACTTTACACACACACACACACATATATATATATATATATATATATATATATATATATATATATATATATATATATATATATATATATATACATATATATTGGTAAAAATTATTTTAATAAGATTATTGTGATGAAAGGGTGTGTTTTGTATAGTAAGTACAGTGTATAGCATATTCATTTTTTTCCATATTCTTTAAAATGTTGATCTTGAAAATGGGATGGCAGATCAGGGGCATGTGTTTAATTTTAAAAATTAGATAAATGGGGTTGACTGTACTTTAAAAGTTCCAAGATTAAGATTCATGCACTCATTGCACTATGATTAAGATTTACACTGCTCATCTGATATGGGTTAGTTTTGCACACTACTAAACTGATTAGGGTTAGTCCTTGCTTGCACTTTTTGACAGATTAGGGTTAGTCCTCACACCCATCCCAGAGATTAGGGTTAGTCCTCACACCCACCCCAGAGATTAGGGTTAGTCCTCACACACTGAGTACACAACCAAGGAATATACTTTTAACAAACCATGTTATGATAAGTGTTCCTCATTCTATCTCAAATCACACATACAGAAATTTGAATTTATACCAAGTTCAACTATTGACGTAATGTTAGCTGTTTTGTTTTTATTGTGTTGTATTGCTTGACCCATATTGGTGTAATATGAAATAAAGATTTTTATGTTATAATGATTATTACATGTATTTTTATTAATATTGAAATAATAATTTCTTTCCATTTTTAAAGTAAAAGTTGTTCTTTAGGGAGCAGTCTTTGAAGTCCATTGAAAATGGCCAATGGAACATACACATGGGAGACAATGAAAAAGATGCACAGCCCCCGAGTGTTTGCAACTCCCCTTGTGTATGAGGGAAACATATATGTGATTGGGGGATGTGACCAGTTGGGAACACCTTTAGACACTTGTGAATATTATGAAACTGCTAAGAGAAAGTGGCATAATCTTCCAAGTATGCAAATAAAGAGAGCAGCCCCTGCAGCTCAGATAGTAGGAGACAAAATAGTGGCCATAGGAGGGGTAGGAGAAACACAGGCTCCTGTAGATGCTGTAGAAGTATACGATATTAAAGCTAAGAAATGGCTTACAATGGAGTCTCTCACTGAACCATTGCAAGGAGTTTCATCTACAGTAAGAGGTACTTACTTATGTAACTAACTTTTTTATTTGAGGGATGATGGCTTAAAAAAGAGTCTCAGAATTTTCTGCTTTTACCTTATCTGATCCATAAACCACTGGAGATTTTCTGATCACGAGAATCTGAGGGGATTTGTTGATGCAAATTTATGCCTACATAACAACAGATTAAAAAATCATTTAATATAATTCTCACAAAGTCCACTTTTTGATAAATTTACGAAATGTTTATAATCAAATTCATGCATTGTTGATAATACCGGAATACATTGATGGCAAAATTGATTACGATTAACACATCAAAATGGCAACACCCTAAATGAAACAAAAAAATGACATAAGTATGTTAAAACCATGTTTTTTTAAAAAAGAATTGGTCATTAATACATGTACTCCATTTTTTTGTGAATGAATAATTTACATGTATGTAAATTGAACTCATGTACAGTAAATTATTTAATGTGTAGGATAAAGATATTAAAAATTATAATTGATATACGTGTATTCCAGTTTGTATTTAACGGTACTTCTACTACATCTACAAGTGCTTCACCACCGAAAGCTCATCTCTCTCTCATTGTACAGATGTATATACATCATACAGTGGCTGCAACGTTATTGTTGACAAACCAATCGTGTAGAATCGTTCGTGTAATGTGCATGATCGTTCGTGTAACGTGAAAGATCGTGTGTGTATCAGGCTTAATCGTTTGTGGTTTTAATCGTGCATGATCGTGCGGTAAGAAACGAGCAAATTTCGTTTTGTAAGTTTTTATCGGAATGTAATTTGTTAAACAAGCATTTCGATTGTCTGTTTTAATTGAAATAAGACAAAAAATGGAGTGCAGTTTACAATATTGAACGAACTAACTATTGCTTGTAAGTAAGCAATATAGTAAGTTGTACAATATTGTATTCTCTGAAAATAGCGTAACTTTAATAATAAATTTAACAATTTTTTTTCTCTGATGTTAGTTATGTTTACTGCTAATTGTGGTTCAAGTTATTTTTATATCAATGCATTAAAAACATATATCTTTACAAAAAATAATAAATAATTCCCAATGCTTAAATAAATATTAAGTCGGCGAATGTACACAACATGATTGTCGGGGTTACTTTAAACAGTGTTTATCCCTGATACTTTATTTTTATAATTTCTGCAAATAAATGAATTGTAAAATAACTGCTTATTTCAGAGATTCACCAGTGCAAAGATGGATATAGTTTTAATTTATTTTATGCCATTTTTTAAAAATCTTATCCGCCCTTACTGCACATAAAAAAATTCAATAGAATCAAAACTCACCATGCTCATGGCCCACCTATATCACTTAATAGTATATGCAGCAATCGATCTTAAATTACATCTGTACGTATCGAAAAGCTTAAAAAAAATCACTTTTCCTATGTCGGAGAATTACATAAATAATTATTTGTAATCTTAAATAATGATTAAATCTGATTTAGTTTAAAAAATATCCATTCTAAATAGTTTTTTTTTCAGTTTTCTAAAGTCAATAAATTGCACCATTAATTATTTGTAATACAAAATAACTATACTAAGTCTTAATTTTTCATTTTGAAAATATCCACTCCTAATATTTTTTTGACTATTTTGCGTGAAGAATTGTGCGTTTGCGTTAGCAATTGTGAAAGATCGTGTAACATGTAGAATCGTGTGCCTGAAGGATCGTCGTGTAACAGGTTTAATCTTGCATTAATCGTGTGGAATCGTTCATGTAATGTGATCATTCGTGTAAGTTGTCAACAATAACGTTGCAGCCACTGTAATATTCACTTTATTGACAATTACCATGTCGGCATTAATACATGTAACATAAAGCTAATTAACAGGATTAATTCATATATATACAAAGTGACAAATGTGAGGTTAACAAAATATAGAGTATATTCACATATTTCTAAGTATTCTTTGCTAACTTTCTTTTCTGGTGTCAAAGCACTTTTTCAATAAAGAACATATCCTTCTAGCAGGTGTAATATTTGTAGGATTGACAATTTTTCTAATGGGATTATCACTAGTTTATGTGTTTACATTAAATATATCAGTATACTTGCATCTATATTGGTCATACTTTGAACAGTATAGAAAAAAATGTTTTTCATCTTCAATAAACAATATACATGAATAGTGTATACTTTTTTCTCTAGGAATAGGGGGTTAACAGTGTCTACCCTTCTCAATATACAATGGATGGGCACTGATTGTTAATTTTGTTAAAACAGGTCTATAACTTTTTTTCAAAGGTAGCTTTAAATAACTTTGCAATTCTGCTATAGAAAGCTAACGCTCCAGAGTCTGGTTTACTTATATTTTTCAGTTGTTCATGTATCTTGTTTTTGTAATGCTCTTGTAATTTGTTTTCAAGGTTGTGTGAAAATATCCAAAGAAGTGATATTTAATTTATGTATTTACTTGTAAATTTGATTTGGCAGTGAGTAAGCAGCATATCCAGTTGAACACCGTAACATAAGCCTGCTGTTGGTCTACAAGCAACGAGCCCGGCTAAAAATCCTACCTAGACCAAACTTGCACAAATGTTACACAGATCTAGGGATTCACACTACCAGAATATTTGTTTAATGTGACTTTTGTCTTACTTAAAGATAACAAATGTCTAAGTGAGTGATGTCATCTTTGATTACCTCCTTTTGTTTTACACAGATAATGAGATTCTAGTAATGGGAGGAATGTCAGATGACTCAAATCCTAAGGATCATTTCTGGAGTTACAACATAGAGAGTAACAAATGGAAAGCCCTCCCACCAATGCCAACCCCTAGATACGCTTCAGCAGCTTTTGAAATTAACAACAAACTTTATGTGATAGGTAAATCTGATAAGGAATAAAGTTTTACTGAGAAAGTTTTAAGAAATTCACAGGCTTTGAATAAAAACAAAGAAGACTTCAATGTTATGCATTTTACAGGAGGACGACAAGGGAGGTTGCCATGTTTAGCTCTGGAAGTCTTTGACTTTGAGACTAACAAATGGACACAATTAGAAAATATACCTAGTAAGAGAGTTTTCCCAAATTATGTAAAGGCAGGGACCTGCATTATCAGTGTAGGTGGACTAAATCAGCCAGCCTCTGATGGGTTTTCCCAGGCTTGTGAGGTTTTTGACACAGCAGATGAAAACCGTACGTATATGCTGAAAGAAATTTCAATGTGTTTAAAATCTTTTTCTACAAACATCTCTCTGAATATTTTTAAGAAACATCAAAATACATGCATTAATGAATTTGTACCCTCAAAACAATTTTTTTGGGATATGAAAAATTAACATGAAACATGTTGGTATGTGTGTGCATCCTTAACAGTGTTGAGGACGTATATTTGGAATAGCGTTTGACCATTCAGTCTCAGACATGCTGCAGAGGTGATAGGTGTTCAGGGGGTACAAGGGTCAAAGGTCAAAATTAAGATGTGAACATTATCAGACTAAGGTTTAGCCTCTTACTTGCTACAGAGATGATAAGTGACCATAAAAAGGTCAGAAAGAGATTAAGGTCAAAGTCACTTAAGTCCATAAAAGTGTTGGAGACAAAATACGTAAATATTTCACATTTTAGACTCAAATTTTCTACAGAGGTTATAGTTGAATGGCTATTTATTTTGGAGTCGAAAGGTCAAAGATACATGTACCATGAGTCCTTAACTGTATTGTGGACAATTTCAGAGTAGAAAGGTCAAAGATACCCTGAGTCTTAACTGTATTGTGAACAATGTGTAGACAGACAACCTCTCCATCTGTAATAAGCTACAGAAGTGGAGCTTACCAGAGAAACACACCTATTCATATAAGAGTCAAAGGTCTAGGTCAAAGTGAATTTGTAACAGTGTTGTGGTATGATATGTAGAGTAGAAATCTTCTTTTCAGTTTTGAATTTGCTACAGAGATGGTAGATGATGAGTAAAAGAGGCCTGTGTAACTGAGGATCAAAAGGTCATGGTCAAAGAATCTGGCAGCTTAACCTAAGTTCTGGACACTCACAATTTAAAGAAAAGTCTCATACTTGCTGTATATATGCTGGTGAGGCCAAGATAAATAAATAGTGTGTTTCCTATTCCAACCTGAGAAAAAATAGGGTAGGTAGATAGGGAAAACATTTTATTTTATTTTAATATTTTATTGGCAAGCACGTTACCATTTTTCCCCAAGGAAATCCTTGTCAAAACATTTCTGATTTATATGTATAGGATATGCATTTTCTGAAACACGGAAGTGATCGAGATTAGGATTTCTAATAGTGAAACTGGAATAGTTTACTCCTGGGAAAGATATCTGCGGATAAATTGTTTAGGGTCGGCTCATATATTTTAGGGTCGGTCAGGGAACCGGAAACACACGATTTATTTATCTAGGCCTGACCAAAGGAAGAGGCTTTTTATTCCATGTTCAAAAGGATAAGTTCAAAGACATTGATAGGTGTAAACTAAATTGTGGACACAATTTAAAGAGTATCATGATTCCGTCTCATACTTCCATACAGTGATACATGATGCCAAGGAAAAGAGGACTATTGTTTGATCAAGGACAGTGATTGATATTCACTTTATGTGAACACCATATCTCAATTCTTGTATGACATCTTGTGAAAAAAATCATGTTTTGTGGGGTTGCTCCTTTTTGCAAAGTCCTTATTTGTATTTTTATAATATAAACCTTTTTACAGCAAAATGGAAGGTTGGTACCAAAATGCCAACAAAACGGGGTGACTTTGCCATTGGTGTTGTTGGTGAGAAGGTGGTCTGTGCTGGAGGCCTTGGTAAGATCTCATATATAATAGTGCTCTTAATCTTATTTCAATTTGTCATAAAGAATTTTAGAGTAAACATTATTATAGGCAAGCTAGAACTTTTTTGGTCACAGCTGTGTCAGTAGGTAACCTAGTGTAATATGTTTTTGTCTAGCTTTATGTATACATGTTTTAGTACTTTTCACCAGAAAACTTAGCCAATTTCAACCAAAGTTGCTACAAAGTAACAATAATTGGGATTTAAATTTGTTTAAGAGTCATTGCCCATTAAAGGGAGGTAATTAAGAAAAAGTGAAATAGGGCAAGGTCATATAAAAAAAAGAACGATGTGTTTGTGAAACACTGATGCCCTTTTATGGCAGCTTATGGCGAAAAGTAAAATTTCTCAAATGCAAGTCAAACTCCAGGTCAAGAGATCAAAAATGGTGGTACCCAAAGAAATGTATATACCTGTGAAATATTAAAAAGTTATGGCGAAGGTTAATGTTTTTGGAAAGTAAGTAAAACTACAAGTTCAAGGTCAATTGGTGCCCAAGGGAAGATCTTGTCACAAGTGATACACATGTACATGAAATATGAAAGCCCTTGAACCAAATGTTCAAATGTTATGGCTAAGTTTAAAGTTTTTTTTAGGTCACCTGAGTCACTCAGGTGACCTATTGCTATCCGTTTACGTCCGTCTTCATGCATCGTCAGTTGTGCGTCATCCGTCTTATGTTAAAATTTGAATATTTTCAGCTTCTTGTCTGAAACCGCTGAACCAATTTCAGCCAATTTTAGCATATGGCATCTATGGGTGAAGGGAAACAAAATTTTTGAATTTCATGGTCCCTGCCCCCGTGGGGCCTGAGGGGTGGGGCAAAAACCATCAAAATTAATGCAATCTGTAAAAATCTTCTTCTTTACTCCTGGATGTCAAGCAGTCAAACTGTTGGCATGATTGTAATAAGCATTGAGCCCTCTACCAAACTTGTGAAATTCATGGCCCCTGGGTCTGGGGTTCTGGCACTAGGGCAGGGCTCTAATGATTATATAGTGAAAATGCATTAATTCTTTGAAAATCTTCTCCTCTGCTCCTGGGTATTAAGCAAATGAACTAAGTACATAGTTATGATGAGGAAGAGTGCCTCTTTCAAAATTGTGAATTTCATGGCCCCTAGGTCAGGGGTTCTGGTGTGAGGGCGGGGCTCTAATGATTATATAGTGAAAATGCATTAATTCTTTGAAAATCTTCTCTGCTCCTGGGGATTAAGCCGATGAATTTAGTACATGGTTATGATGAGGAAGAGTGCCTCTTCCAAATTTGTGAATTCCATGGCCCTTGGGTCAGGCTTTCTGGTGATAGGACAGGGCTCTAATGATTATATAGTGAAAATGCATTATTTCTTTGAAAATCTTCTCCTCTGCTCCTGGGTGTTAAGCAAATGAACTAAGTACATAGTTATGATGAGGAAGAGACATAGTTATGATGAGGAAGAGTGCCTCTTCCAAAATTGTGAATTTCATGGCCCCTGGGTCAGGGGTTATGGTGTTAGGGTGGGGCTCTAAATGATTATGTAGTAAAAAGCATTAATTCTTTTAAAAATCTTCTCATCTGCTCCTGGGTATTATGCTGATAAATTAAGTACATAGTTATGATGAGGAAGAGTGCCTCTTTCAAAATTGTGAATTTCATAACCCTTGGGTCCGGGGTTTTGGTTGGGGGGGGGGGGGGGGGGTTATTTATTATATACTGAAAATAAATTAATGCATTGAAAATCTTCTCCTCTGCCCCTTGGTATTAAGCAAACAAACTTCATGGCCCCTGGGTCAGGGGTTCTGGTGATAGGGCGGGGCTCTAATGATTATATAGTGAAAATGCATTAATTCTTTGAAAATCTCCTCTGCTCCTGGGTATTTAGCAAATGAACTAAGTACATGTACATAGTTCTGATGGGAAAGGGTGCCTCTTCCAAAATTTAGAATTTCAGGCCCCAGGGTCAGGGGTTCTTGTGCTTAGGTGGGAGTCTATTGATTAATTAGCAAAAATGCATTAATGCTTTGAAAATCTTCTCCTCTGCCTCTGAGTACTAAGCAAACAAACTAAATGCAATAATATCAATGTAAATGTATTAAATAAAATTATGAGTAAATGTACCTTTTCTTTGCTCCTGGGTATCTAGGAGGCAAAAAGAGTACACAAATGTAGTAAGTGAAGCAAATGAGAGTTACTCCCCTTTGCTAGGTGTTGTTAATCAGGAAATCCTTGTATATAATTTAATTAACAGGTTATTAGATTGAATGAGAATACAAGAAAGAATGTTATATATTTAGAAACGAAATAAAAATGAATGGTTTAAATGAGCAAAGCATTCTCAAAGTCAGATTCTTGCCTGGAAAGCAATATAAAAGATTGACATAAAGATTATTTATATATTTAGCAAAAGTTGTAATTGTACAAAGTATGTTTACACTGTGGTGTTCTGTTTGACAGTAGATGAGTCTTTGTAACATAGAGTCATGGTTGACAAGAGACTGGACGAAGTTGGTTTATACTTTATCAAAGTTAATAAAAAATCACAGAGAGTCAGGGTGACTTATTGTAATTTGTGACAAGTGGCAAATAGCCATGTTTTATAACCAAGTATGTGTGTACTGAATTGTATAACTAGGCAAGTGACAAAAACATATCTGTATATATTGAATACCTTACACAATAGGCAAGTGTTCATTGTATTTGTATATTTTGCATTCATTATCATCCCTGTAAGACTTGGGAAAACCAAGTATGATCCTAAGGAGGTCACTCGGGTCTAACACATTACAATAAGCAAGGGTATTTTTACCAGATTTTTAAAATTCTTGGGCAACATTGCTTCATCTTTTAGTTAATTTTGTTTTATACTTTTATGGACCCTTTACAGTCTTGTATTATACTCAGGTGACCGTTAAGGCCCTTAGGCCTCTTGTTTAAAGTATTTCTAAGGTCAAGTGTCAAAGTTGTTGGTATCCACAAGAAGGTCTTTTCACAAGGGATACTCATGTGTCATTGTTCAATTCTTATGACCAAGGTCAATGTTTTTCAAAAGTAGGTCAAACTCCAAGGTCAAGGTCAAACAGTAAAAGCTGTTGGTATTTGAAGGGAGGTCTTGTCACAAGGTATATACACTTGTAAAGTTTGAAAGCCCTAGCACCAACTATTCAAAAGTTGTTGCCAAGGATAAAGTCTGATAAAGTTAGCTTAAGTGGGTCAACCATCAAGATCAAGGTCAAAAGGTCAAATTTGATGGTATCCAAGGAAAGGTCTTGTCACAAGGAAAACACATGTGAAATATGAAAGCCATAGCTTCAACCAATCAAAAGTTATGGGCAAGTTATGGGTTTTGCAAAATTTTACCCAACATTATCCTTGGCCATAACTTTTGAACAGTTGGTGCTAGGGCTTTCATGCTTCACATATGTAGTGCTTGTGACAAGACCTTCCTTTGGATACCAAGAACTTTGACCTTTTGATCTTGACCTTGGAGTTTGACCTACTTTTGAAAAACTTTAACCCTGGACATAACTTTTGAACAGCTGGAGCTAGGGCTTTCATACTTCACATATATAATCTTTGTGACAAGACCTTCCTTTGGATACCAACAAATTTGACCTTTTGACCTTGACCAGCTGTTCAAAACTTTAACCTTGGCCATAAGTTTTGAACAGCTGGTGCTAGGGCTTTCAAACTTCACATATATAATCCTTGTGACAAGACTTTACTTTGGATACCAACAACTTTGACCTTGACCTTGGAGTATGACCTACTTTTGAAAAACTTTAACCTTGGCCATAACTTTTGAATGGTTGGTGCTCGGGCTTTCATATTTCACATGTGTATTTCTTGTGAGAAGGCCTTTCCTTGGGCACCATTAATTTAGAACATTTGACCTTGACCTTGATGTTTGACTTACTTTTGAAACACTTTAATCTTTTCCATATCTTTTCAATTGTTGCTGCTAGGGCTTTCATATTTCACAGGTATATTCCTCGGGACAAAACCTTACTTTGGATACCAACATATTTGATTTGCATTTGAAAAAGTTTAATCTTCGCTATAACTTGCCATACGGGGGCATCAGTGTTTCACAAACACATCTTGTTTTAATTAAAAATATTCTGATAAGAAGTACAAGGCTACCAATTGTTAAAACAATCGTCATATAGTCTATATTCAAATTTGTTCTAATTACATGTAACTTACTACAACAATGAGGTCACAGAGTACATTCCGAATTTTACAGGGAAAATATTTTTTTATGCCCCCGCCATAAAATGACCCAGGCATATAGTGTTACCCTGTTCCATCATTCTGTCATTCCGTGACCATTCACTTTCCGTTCATTATCTCTGCAACAGTTGCACACGTTCAACTCAAATTTGACATATGGATACATCATAGGAATACGCAGGTCAAGTTTGAATTTGGTCATGGTCCGATGATTTTTGACAGAGTTTTAGTTAAGTTTTTGCAGAAATTTATAGGAAAAATCTTAAAAAGTTAAAATATTTTTAAGAATTACAGGGCCACAAGGTCACAGGTTTAAGTTTATTCAAATGGTAAATGCAAATGGATAAGGATGAGGCTACAGAAAGGTTTTTAGCTCACCTGAGCCGAAGGCTCAAGTGAGCTTTTCTGATCACATTTTGTCCGTCGTCCGTCGGTCTGTCCGTCGGTCTGTCCGTCTGTCTGTCCGTCCGTCTGTAAACTTTTCACATTTTTGACTTCTTCTCAAGAACCACTGGGCCAATTTTGACCAAACTTGGTACAAAGCATCCTTGCGTGAAGGGGAATTTAAATTGTTAAAATGAAGGGCCAAGTCCCCTCACAAGGGGAGATAATCAAGAGAAGACAAAAATAGGGTGGGGTCATTAAAAAATCTTCTTCTCAAGAACCACAGGGCCAGTAAAGCTGAAACTTATATGGAAGCATCCTGGGGTAGTGTAGATTCTAAATTGTTCAAATCATGACCCCCAGGGGTAGGGCGGGGCCACAATGTGGAATCAATGTTTTACATAGAAATATATAGGAAAAATCTTTAAAAATCTTCTTCTCAAGAACCACTGGGCCAGAAAAACTGAAATTTATGTGGAAGCATCCTGGGGTAGTGTAGATTTTAAATTGTTCAAATCATGACCCCCGGGGGTAGAGCGGGGCCACAAGAGGGAGTCCAAGTTGTACATTGAAATTAATAAGAAAAATCTTTTAAAATTCTTCTTCTCAAGAACCACTTGGCCAGAAAAGCTGAAACTTATGTGGAAGCATCCTGGGATAGTGTAGATTCTAAATTGTTCAAATCATGACCCCTGGGGGTAGGGCAGGGTTACAATAGGGAATACAAGTTTTACATTGAAATATATTGGAAGAATCTTTAAAAATCTTCTTCTCAAGAACCACTGAGCCAGAAAAACTGAAACTTATGTGGAAGCATCCTGGGGTAGTATAGATTCTAAATTGTTCAAGTCATGACCCCTGGGGGTAGGGCGGGGCCACAATAGGGAATCCAAGTTTTACATTGAAATATATAGGAAAAATCTTCTTCTCAAGAACCACTGAGCCAGAAAAGCTGAAACTTATGTGGAAGCATCCTGGGATAGTGTAGATTCTAAATTGTTCAAATCATGACCCCCGGGGGTAGGGCGGGGCCACAATAGGGAATACAAGTTTTACATTGAAGTATATAGGAAAAATCTTTAAAAATTTTCTTCTCAAGAACCACTGAGCCAGAAAAGCTGAAACTTAACTGGAAGCATCCTGGGATAGTATAGATTCTAAATTGTTCAAATCATGACCCCCGGGGGTAGGGCGGGGCCACAATAGGGAAACATTGAAATTTATAGGAAAAATCTTTAAAAATTTTCTCAAGAACCACTGAACCAGAAAAACTGAAACTTATGTGGAAGCATCCTGGGGTAGTGTAGATTCTAAATTGTTCAAATCATGACCCCGGGGGTAGGGCGGGGCCACAATAGGTATTACAAGGGGGCAAGTCTGGTAATGAACAGCATGGCCAAAGTTACTCAGGTGAGCGATGTGGCCCATGGGCCTCTTGTTTCATAATTGGAAAAAAAAAGATTACATAAGGTTGATTTATGTTTGAAAAATTTGCTTTTCGACTGGAAAATGTGTATAGATATAAGCTCTTGGGTGCATGATTTTTAGCTCACCTGAGCTGAAAGCTCAAGTGAGCTTTTCTGATCACATTTTGTCCGGCGTCCGTCTGTCTGTCCGTCTGTCTGTCTGTCTGTCTGTCTGTAAACTTTTCACATTTTCGACTTCTCAAGAACCACTGGACCAATTTCAACCAAACTTGCCACAAAGTATCCTTGGGTAAAGGGGATTCAAGTTTGTTCAAATGAAGGGCCACGCCCTCTTTCAAGGGGAGATAATTAGGAATTAGTGAAAAAATAATGGCAACATTTAAAAATCTTCTTCTCAAGAACCATACGGCCAGGAAAGATGAAACTCATGTGGAAGCATCCTCAAGTAGTGTACATTCAAGTTTATTCAAATCATGACCCCCGGGGGTAGGGCGGGGCCACAATGGAGGATCAAAGTTTTACATAGAAATATATAGGAAAAATCTTTAAAAATCTTCTTCTCAAGAACAGCAAAGCCATGATGAGTCATATTTATATGGAAGCATCCTCAGGTAGTGTAGATTCAAGTTTGTTCAAATCATGACCCCCGTGGGTAGGGCGGGGCCACAATGGAGGATCAAAGTTTTACATAGAAATATATAGGAAAAATCTTTAAAAATCTTCTTCTGAAGAACAGCAAAGTCATGATGAGTCATATTTATATGGGAGCATCCTCAGGTAGTGTAGATTCAAGTTTGTTCAAACCATGACCCCCGGGGGTAGGGCGGGGCCACAATGGAGGATCAAAGTTTTACATAGAAATATATAGGAAAAATCTTTAAAAATCTTCTTCTCAAGAACCACTGGGCCAGTGGGCCTCTTGTATAAATATTATTGCCATTCTACACATTACTACATGCATATCAGCTTTAGAATATTCAAAAAAAGAATTAAGTTACCAACTTTTAAAAGAAAAAGTGCTAGCAAGAATTAGGCAAAACCAAATTACTTTTTAGTTACATCAGAAAAGATTTTTATACTTCTTTAATTCTTTGTATCAATTAAATTTCAGGGAGTCAAGGTAAACCATTACAGATTGTTGAGGCGTACGATTGGAGAACAGATACATGGACAGAAATTAAATCATGTCCTACCACACACTGCTCCTGTGCTTTTACCATGCTCAGTGACCGACTGTTTGTCATTGGTGGTCTCTCACTAGGGGGACCTAGTTCCTCCATGGAGGCCCTCAGCTTCAAACCTGACAAGTGATGCAGATATGCTTTAGTATTTAAACTTTCTTAATCCATCTTTGTTACAATCATGAGCAGTCCCATTTCCTTAAATCTTCATCTTTTACTGCAGACTTAGTTGCTTGTCTCTTGGTGCCATTATATTGTAGTCCCTGTTCCAGAGTTCTTGGTAGTTTGAGTGAGATGACTGACTGGTTCACAATGCATTATTTTCTTATTTTTATATTTTCAATTTTCATGTGAATGTAATACTTATTATTGATTAATTAATATAATTGAAAATCTTATATGAAATATTATGTACTTTTGCTGCTTCTGTCTTAATATAGACATGTAAACTTGTGGTCATTTTTAGCTCACCTCAACCAAGTTGAGTGAGCTTATGTAATACCCTCGGCATCGGCTTCCCAGGTTAAAGTTTTTGGAGCAGATTTATTTTCAAGTACTTCTGTGCCCTATATTAATCAGAGATGCATGGAGGATGCTTCTAGTGTGTTTCATTCTACCAGTCAAGGTTTCAGATGCTGCAATTTCAGCTAAAGAAGGACCAGGATAATGTTTTTGGAGCAGGTTGAAGTTTTTGGAGCAGGTCTCATTTCCAAGTTATGATAAGCCCTATGTTGACCAAACTTGCATGGATGATACATCCAAGGATGCACACTACCGGACTTGCTTCATATGCTGGATCTGACCTACATTTTCTGGATGAGTGACCAGGTTAAAGTTTTTGGAGCAGATCTCATTTCCGAGTAAATGTATGTCTATGTTGACCAAACTTGCATGGATGATGCATCTAAGGATGCACACTACAGGACTTGCTTAGGCTGGATCTGACCTACATTTTCCAGATGAGTGACCAGGTTAAAGTTTTTGGAGCAGATCTCATTTCCGAGTAAATGTATGTCTATGTTGACCAGACTTGCATGGATGATGCATCTAAGGATGCACACTACAGGACTTGCTTAGGCTGGGTCTGACCTACATTTTCCAGATGAGTCACCAGGTAAAAGTTTTTGTGAGTCGGTCCATTGCCAAGAAACTAAAAGGCTTACCTGAACCAAACTTGCATGGGTGATGCACTCTCAAACTTGCTTTAGATGCTGGATTTGACTTACATTTTCTTGATGAGTGACTAGTTTAAAGTTTTTAGATAAGTCCATTCCCAAGTACATGTAATTGCAAGCCCTATCAGACCAAAATTGCATACATGTTGCATCTAGGGATGCACACTATTAGATTATTAGTTTAGTATGGGACTTTACCTTACTTAAAGACTACTCTCTGTAATCTCTGATTACTTGTGTCTTTTTTTAATTAATGGCAGGGTTGTCCCTAAGACCCGGGGGCGGGGAATTTCCCCACCTATTTTGACGTAATTTCCCGGTTATTCTAGTATTCCCCCTCAACCCCCTGTTAGGGGAGGAACCCCAGATTCCCTTCTACTTTTTTAATGTACCCTGCTATTTCAATTCTTAGGGACAACCCTGTAATGGTAATACTTGAATTAGTAAATGTATAGTAACTTCCTCAGTAGTAAGATTCATTAGAACTGAAATTATACTTAATGAACAATTCCTTTCATTTAATAATGTATATGACTCCACTGTGTGCAATTATATTCACTTTGACACTTTCATAATACATCATTTATTTCAGTTACACTGCTGAAGTATGTTACTGATGTAAAGAAAATAAACGTGATCTTGAAAACTCATAAAATATTGCATGTATCAGATTTTGAACACTCTTTACCATGATAAACAATTTAGGCAATAAAATTGACATATGGAATAATGTTCACTTTGTTATGCTTATACCTGGGGCTGTCAGGTAGGTTCAGTTGCCAGTGGCCAAAAAGCTCAGTTGCTGGAACACCTGTCTTGAGTTCAGGGGTCCCAGGTTTGAATCCTGTCTCACTGTGAGTCCTCTCTTGTGTACTATCTTCTGTCAACTTTTCACAATTTCAACTTCTTCACCAGAATCACTAGGGCCAATTTCAACTAAACTTGACATGAAGCTGTGAATAAACACTGATTCTTTGAATAAGAGTATTCAATGTAATTTAAATAAAGAGCCTTAAATAATTCTTACAGTGGGAGAAAATTACAGAAAATATTGGAAGTATGTGGTTAGTTTATTTGAAATCTCAAGAACCACTGTTAAAATCCACTTGTGGTGTCTGTTTCTTTTGTTTCAGTGCATACTTATTTTTTTGGGAATGGAGAGTTGCAAATTACATGGAGAACACAGTTTTTTAGGCTTTTAAAAAATTTATCAAGTTATACAGTGTATTTTAATAAGAAAAAGTGTGCAAAATCTTCATAAAACTTTGTGAAAGATAGAAATAGACCATTGTAGTAATGTTTTTCATTTGGTACCATGAAAAAGAATTCAAAAGATCACTGCAAATGTCTTTAATACCTCAATTTTTCTATGTTGATCTATTTCACAATGGTGTTAATTTCATGGTCACTGAATTTTTTGCATTTTTAAAAATAATACGTTGAAAACAAAGGAAGTTAAGAAAGTTATGGTCAATAATTAACTTTAAACCGTACCTCAGGGTTTCCATGTGATTTTCAATGCTTTACTATTTTGCTATTACTGAATAGGAAAATAGGGTTATAAAGTGTATGGCATGTTTATATATGACTCTATATTGATATGTCAACAATATTCACTTTGGCTTAATGTTTGCAGAAATTTCTTTGATCGCGAACATAGTTAAACAAGCAAATTCAAAGAATTGTGGTCCCCGCTTTCGGTGTCTTAGTGAATGGGATGCCATTATTTATGGCATATTGTAACTGTCTTGTTTGTGTGTCCTGTCTTGTCTGTGCATTACACAAAAAAAGACATACATTATTGAATTAATAAGAGTTATGGCAAAGATGATAGCTTCTCAAAACTATATCAAAATTCAAGATCAAGGTCATTAGGTTAAATATCATAATACAGTCTGAAAGGTCTTGTAACAAGTAATTGGTATGTGAAAAAATATTTAATAAAACCATAGTTTACATTTGGAAAGGTCTTGAAACAGTTAATGCACATGTCAAATGAAAATGCCATATCTTCTCTCAATCAAAAATTATCAGCAATGTTAAAATTTTGGAAAATTAGGTCAAATTTCAAGGTCATGGGGTTAAAAATTATAGTACATTTGGAAATGTTTGTCACAGGTAATGCACATATCAAATTTGAATGCCCTATACTTCAAAAGTTAGCAACACTGATGACATTTTTGAAAATAAGAAAAAGTTTGAAAAATCAAACTTGAAGGTCAAGGTCATGGGGTCAAATATTACAGCACATTTGGAAACATTTTGTCACAGTTAATGCACTAGTTAAAATGTTTGAAAATTAGGTCAAATATGAAGGTCAAGGGTCAAAAATCATAGTATGCTCAAAAAAAACCTTGTCACAGGTAATGCACATGTCAAATCTAAAAGCCTTATCTTTTCTCAATCAAAAGTTATACGCAAAGATAAAAATTTTGAAAAGTAGGTCAAACTTCAAGGTCAAGAACACAGGGTCAAAAACCATAGTATATTTGGAAAGGCTTTGTCACAGGTAATGAACTTATAAAATATGAAAGCCCTATCTTTTCTCATTCAAATTTTATGACCAATTTAAAGTAATGCAAAAATTTTTGAAAGGTAGATCAGACTTCAAGGTCAAGGGGTCAAAAGTCATATTATATTTGGAAACGTCTTGTCACAGGTAATACACATGTCTAATATGAAAGCACTATCTTTCCTCATTCAAGAGTTACATAGTATGACTAATTTAAAGCAATGTTAAAATTTTTGAAAAGTAGGTCAAACTTCAAGGTCAAGGTTGCGGGGTAAAAAAATCAAAGTATATTTTGAAAGGTCTTGTCACAGGTAATGCACATATGAAATATAAAAGCCCTATCTCTTCTCATTCAAAAGTTATGACCAAGGTTAAAGTTTTTGTGACTGACAGAGGGACAGCTAGACAGACTGACAGACAAATGAGATTTAATGTCCCCTCGCTTTCGCGAAAGCGGGGGACAAAAATAGTGCAAAGGACAATTCCTTTTAATGTTTCTTTCTATTTATCTGGATTATATATAATGGTTTTTCTGATGTCCATGATTTATACAGATTTATAAAATAACAACTATTTGGATCTTTTGGTATAAAAATGTTACACCCTCTGTTTGGGAGAGTAAATAGGAATCACCTTGTCCATCTGTCCGTTTGTCCATGCAATCTTTTCTTGACTATAACTTTGTAATGAAGAATCAATGGAAGCTCATATTTGGTACTGAGATGATTGCTTATTACCGGAGGGTGTGTCAAGTTCAAGGACACTGGCAGAAAAAGAATCAAATTCTTGTCCAGGCTATATCTCTGTAAAAGAAAATCATTGAAAGCTCATATTAAGTAACTATAGAGATTGTTCATGACTAGAGGTAGTGTCATGATCTTAGCCAAAGGTTAACTCCGGCAAGTTCAAGGTCACTGGCAGAAAAAAATCAAATCATTGTCTGGGCTGTAACTTAGCAATGGAGAATCATTGGAAGCTCCTACTAGGAACAAAAATTGTTTATGACTTGTTGGTGTGTCATGACCTTCATCCGAGGTCATTCCAGTAAGTTCAAGGTCACAGACAGAAAAAGTATAGAATTTTTGTCGGGCTATAACTTTGTAATGGAGAATAATTGAAATCTCATACTTGGTACAAAAATTGTTTATGACTTGAAGGTGTCTCTTGATCTTGACCAAAGATGATTCCAGCAAGTTCAAGGTCACTGACAAAAAGAGTATAGAATTCTTGTCTGGGCTTTAACTTTGTAATGGAGAATAATTAAAAGGGTCATACTTAGTACAAAAATTATTTATGATTTGTGGGTTTGGCAAGACCTTGAATGAAGGTCATTCAAGTAAGTCCAAGGTCACTGACAGAAAAGAGTATAGAATTCTTGTCCAGGATATATTCTTTAATAGAGTATCATTGGAAGCTCATACTTAGTACAAATATTAGAAATGACCTAAAGGTTTGTCATAACTTTGACCAAAGGTCATTTTGGCAAGTTCAATGCCACTGTCAGAAAAAGTATATAATTCTTGCTCAGACCATAACTGTAGTACATGTGTAATGAGAATCATTGGAAGCTCATACTAGGTATTAAGATTGTTTATGACCCAAAGATGTCTCAAACCTTGACCCAAGCTCACTGTGGCAAATTCAAGGCCACTTGTATAAAATGTTAAATTCATGACAGGTCTAAATGTCCATATTTCACTAGATTACTTATGACCAGATGATACATGTATATCATTTTTTAAACCAAGGTATTTTTACAAGTTCAAGGTCACATTTACAAAACCTGAATGGGCACTATAGAAAAAATGCAGTGGAGGTTATCATTTAGTTATCTCGCTCACAGTACCTCTATTTTGAACCATAAAAAATGTGAGGGTGGACCTCCGTAAGTGTAGATAACAATTTGTTCAAATCATTATCAGTAGGACTAGAATTGGGCATTTGCCATGGAAATAATAAAAATAAAAACAAAAAGGGACTATAGGTTGCAGGTGAGTATTGCAATCCCTGGGCCACGTTGGCATGATAAAGAACCCTCACTGCTCAATGGCCCTGAGTGCCGAGTATAGGTCTAATTTGAAGCCCTTCACTGGCATATGGTGACGTCTCTATATGAGTGAAAAATTCTCGAATGGGATTTTAAACAACACACAATCAATCAATCAAAAAAAAAATCCTCAGAGGTATTTAAGTGGAGCCCAAATAGGATTAACATTGGAATTAATGGATGAAATCTTTATTAAGTATAAATCTTTTATTATTATTATAAATCTTCTTAAGAAGAGCAAGGCCAAGATTTTTCATATAAATATGTAAGCACCCAGAAGTACGTGGCATACAGATCATATGGTCCTGGAGTAAGGTAGGCAACCATAGATCAAAGTTTTATAATGGGAATATTTAGGAAAAAATCTTCAAAAACAATGATTCTTGCCTATTTATATGACAAAACATGGTATTGTTGTCCTTGAGAAAAATATTTTAGTGCAGATTTAAGATTGTCCAAATCATGGTCCCAAGGGTGTGATGGGGCAACAATTGGGGATCAAATTAAAAACCTGGGAAAATAAGAAATGGATAAGAAAGTGGATTCAGTTTTTCCCTTCTTTTTTTCAAATTATAGACTCTTGTCATTTTTTTTTATTTTTTATTTACAAATTTACTTGGCCATTAAAAACTATAAAAGTACTTTCTGTATAATACACATTAAAAATTTTTTTATGTTTTTTTTCATTCAATTTACCTAAAAAACATTACCTTCTGGGATGAATAACAAAAAATATAACAAAGAATGATAACTTCTCTTAAAGCATAGTAAAAATTTCCATACATGATCAAATATAACCCCACCCTAACTCCAGTACCCCTGACTCAGGTGCAGTGAATTTGACTATTCTGGAAGGGGTACCCTCGCTTATTATAACCATGCACTTAGTTTGACTGCGAAATATAAAGGACGTGAGAAAAGGGGTTTTCAAAGAATCATAATGCATTTTCACTATATGATCAATAGAACCCTGCTCTAACACCAGAACCCCTTACCAAGGGGCTATCGATTTCACAATTTCGGAAGAAACACCCTTGCTCGTAATAACCATGCACTATAGCCTGGAGCAGAGAAGAATGCTTTTAAAGAATTAATGCATTTTCTTTATATGATCAATAGAGACCTGCCCTAACACATGAACTCCTTATCGGCCAGCCATGAATTTTATAATTTTGAGAGAGGAACCCTTGCTCATGCAATATTTGAATTAATGCGCACATCAAATCAATTAATGCTCTTGTCAATTAATTTGGTCAATTCAGTTATTGCGCGAAATAGCGTTTGTAAAAGTCAAGAAACAATATTTACAACCGTATACATTTTAGTACATCTAAGGAATGTTTTTAAGTTTTGTGTGAGTTATTGGTGTGTAAATCACACAGACTTGTCACGTAGGCATATTTCATGAAGCGCGCTAGCGCTTCATGAAAAATATGCCTACGTGACAAGTCAGTGTGATTTACACACCAATAACTCACACAAAACTTAAAAACATTCCTTATATTTACATTTTACAAATTTAAAAGCACCAATGATATACTCAATATATGAATTTCTTGCTGCCCTATATCGTTACATTTTTATTAACGTCTCTGTAGCCTCATTGTGACGTCATTTTAGCTCGAGTTTCACCGTGTATATTTCTACGCGTGAGTATACACAAAAATGACTTTCAAATCAATTTCACAGTCGGCTTAGTAGAAAAACACAGCAAATGTAAATATATAATGATGAGATTTACATCCAACATGTACAATATATAATATAATGATATTTTTCATAGATTTGTAAAGACAATGTTCTTGTTGTATTCGCTAATTGCACAAATTTTCCTAGATTACATAATTCTTTTACATTCTGTGTACTAAGTAATTGCGCCAATTTGAAGACCGGGTTCAGGTCTTCGGGAGTATATATATAGTAGAGCATATTACAATGTGAACATTTTACAACAATGTCATGTTGTAAATTTTGTATTTACTGCCACCCGGTAAATTCAAAACTTTTGAGTACATTTTTGTTATTCAAAATTTAATATTTTAATTATTTAATATTGCATTTAAATTTAATTCCACAATTTCATTCACAGAAATTTTAATTACTTTTGTAGACACATAATACCAAAATTATTAAGGAATGAATGATTATATTTACAAAATTAAGAAGAGAAATTACAATAGCTAAGATTATTCAGATGAAATTTCTTATTTTTGTTTAGACACATTTTCCTTAGATTTTTGCAGGCAAATTCTGAAACAGAAATAATCCCTTACTAAAACATTGTTCTTGACCATTCCTTTGTCCTTTTTTTTTTTAACTGTATGCCTGTGTTCTTGTCAATATATGTATATATTTCTTTTTCCATAGAAGTAGTTATTGTTGTTGTGATTTTTCTTTTCTTTTTCAAAATAGGCTTTAGGGTCTAAAGCCATTCAGAGAAGGGTGGAGTTGTCATGTTGTAAATTTTGTATTTACTGCCACCTCATGTTGTAAATTTTGTATTTACTGCCACCCGGTAAATTCAAAATTTACAACATGACAACAAAATGGAATTCATCTTCTATGTCCCCTAATTCACAAAGTTTACATATTCTATTATTTCTCACAATTTTGTTGTATCTTCCTTGTTCAATCATTAAGTTATCTGCAGAACAGTTTTAATTAATCTGGTAATCGGTACTCTTTATTTTAAATGTATTGATTTACATAATAAGATAGGGAAAAATTATCAACAAGGTGTTGGTAAATGAGGCATGTTTTCAGCGGTGATTTACCAAAATATGACACTAAGGCCCCTAGTGTTTTAGATATATTCCTCACACATTCTCTGACATACAATATCAATACAATATATATACAATATATTGATATACAGTATCAAATTGTGTTGCTGCTTCTACAATTACTATCATACAGTTCTGTGAAATTCACTTTTAATATTAACAATCCATTCAACATTACTTTCTATCCTTTCTTGGAGACATATATTTCACCATGATAACCGATATAATCAAATAATTAAAGATACTTGTACCATCAGTATATTCGGGTTTATGTTAATGGTGTACTCCTTAGTCGGAGACGTACGTTCAATTATTTATAATATCATCATAGCTTTCAGGGATGCATCCTGTATTTTACAGTTTGTTGTTGTTGTTTTTTTGTTGTTGTTTTTTAAAATCAAAATTAATACTAACTTTACATCGTCTAAGTACTATAAATAATTATCAACTCTATTGATTTAGAAGATATTTTATTATGTACAAGTTTACTTGATATAATACCCTTTTCAGATTTTGGGGAAAAAAGGGGGTTCCAAGGCCGTTGAAAAGGGGTGCGTCGGGTGTGATAACGACTACATCAAAATTTGAGGGTTATTTTTCATTTCGAAATGCATGTGAAGCTTATGATCCCAGGCCCCAGGTGGGGCTTTGGTATACTATTCTATGTATAATAGAGGGATATTTGCTTTTTCAGTATATATTCAAATCTAATAATGCTTGTAAAATGAGTTTAAAAGATGCCAACGACAACGACAGACAACGGACAAATTTTGATCTGAAAATCTCACTTGAGCCTTTTATTCCATACCCTTTGGCTCAGGTGAGCTAAAAAAAGGTCGTCAACTACCCAAAATTCCTTGACAAGCAAAAACAAAAAATATATATATATATACGTTTTATTGAGGGGGCACAAGCATCATAGAGTATCTATTTTTACTATAGTAATCTATATATCGGCAAAATTATTGCCCCCCCCCCCCCATCCGGTTCCTACGGCTATGCGGAATGGGATGCCCAATATTGAAAATACTTGAAACCTTTGAAAACATCGAGTCAGATTATAAAATGTCCTTTTTTTGCCAGTTGCACTCCGCTCCTACAATATAATTATATTCAAGCTGAATTTATTCATATTACGTGATAAAGCGGAGAATATTTCATGGTTAATAACAAATCGGGCTCGAGATTTCAACAGTCATATGATTCTAGGAACAACACTGACTGACTGAGAATGACTCAATGAGATAGAACAGTAATCCGACTAATCGAGTTGAGTTGTTGTAAAGAGAGATCAAGCCTACACAGCTGATTCTAAGTTGAATTCTAGTATTGAGTACAATGCATTTCCTTGCTGTCATATTGTGCATTTTAAACTTTTCTTTAGGATGTATATGTGTAAAATATGAGCCAGACTGGGACTCTATCGACTCCCGTCCCTTACCGGCCTGGTATGATGATGCTAAAGTAGGCATGTTTATTAACTGGGGGGTGTACTCCGTTCCGAGCTTTCACGATGAATGGTTCTGGTACTGGTGGAAGGGACCCAAACCTAGCCCAGACGTCGTCAACTTAATGGAAAGATTTTATCCACCGTCTTTCACATATGCAGACTTTGCAGCTGAATTCAGAGCAGAATTTTATGATCCTTTAAAATGGGCTAGCATCATAGAGAATTCTGGAGTAAAGTAAGTTCACACTAGTTAAAATAATCTAACTGTGACTTGGGACAAGCCCTCACCACAAACTGTGTCCGTAGGACAATATCATTTTAACGATAGATAGAACGTTCTATCCGATAGATAGTATACACATATTTACTGGCTATGAGAACAATAGCAAGTTTATCATCCCCCAAGACAGCAACTATTTCCGAGGCGCAGCCGAGGGAAATAGTTGCTGTTGAGGGGAACGGTAAACTTGCTATTGTCTGAATAGTCAGTAAATAAGTGTTTTATTATACCGAAGCCAACTTTACTTTTGTTACATCACAAACCGGATAAGTCACAATACCACAAACCAAATAGTTTTGAGATGAAAAATGAGGGAAATGGAATGCTGCCGGTGAATAGTTTAATGACTATTTCACCATGGGCAAATAGCGCAAAAACCTTTCCACAGTAGGGGTTGTTTAGAAAAAATAGCAGGTTTATTTGTCGTATTTTTATATAGAAAAAATTCACAGAGGTATAATAAAACGTTCTATCTAAGTTCACGCCAGCAACTGTCAATAATTTTCTTGTGTACTAAATGAGTGTGTGGATTTAATAACATTTCTACAGTACTGATGTTGAACAGGTCCAGTACAATAAGAACATTTAGCTACATAGCTAAAATTACCTACCATAGCTTTATTTACCTACCTCAGGTAGCTTTATTTAGCTGTTTCTAGGCAACTTTTCACAATTATGCTTTTTATTTTAAAAAGACAAAAAATCACAAGTAAATGTCTACTAATATTTATTCTAGATATTATTTAAAAAGCAATCTAAAGCAGAGATAGCTTTAACATTGCTGCATTTGAACTCTTTCAAAGAAAAGATGTATTTCCATTGTTTGAGTAACTGTACACTACCTTGTTTGTGTTGAGGTGTGGGTAAGTATGATTACTTCACATTGTGCTCAAGGTAACCAAAACTGGTTTTCTTTGTTATTTCACTCAAGAAGTAAATGTTAAGTCACAAATTAACTGTTGTATATATAGCCCCAAAACTTTTAGAACTTTGATTGGAATTGTGCAGAAAAGACACATCTCCAAGAGTGATTTTTTCATGAATTGTTTTCAGATGAGTTCAAAGTTGAAAATTATCACTGCATCAAAGTGCAATTATCTCACCAGGAGATGACCCTAAATGGGGTTTCTTCAGATCCTTGTGTAGCGATCTATGTGAGCGGATCAAAGGATCTGATTTTAATCAGATTGCAAGTATCAGTGCACTTTCTGGGAAAAATGCTAATTTAAGAAATAAGTTTGATTTAATAGCTAAATAAAGCTACTTTAGGTAGGTAAATAAAGCTATGTAGGTAATGGCGGTTTTTGATTTTGATAGTAGAGGATATGTTACCATCAGGTATTAGGTCCATTTGCCCTATCTTCCTGTTCACTGGAGTCTGTTCACCCAAAGTTTATATTCGCCATAATCCTAAATATTTGCCTTGTAACACATTCGCCATGTACATGTACATCTTGTTCGCCCAGTTGTAAATATCATGTTAACATTTCTGTTGAATTTTATATCATTTCTTTTTATTTTTTTGTAAATAGATCTAGTAAACAATTTTTGTATCCATTCAATTAATAAATTAACTTTATATGTGATTTTCATGTTTATCAAAGCTGTAAATTTATTTAATTGCTAATTTGTTTACTGTAACTTAAGGAAACACATTCCTATTTCTTTTTTTTTTTTAAAGATTCACATTTAGCTTTTAAAAACATATTAATTTAGTGGGTCATTTTGGGAATGAGCAGTGGATGAGCAGCAGTTTTATCTTTGAAGAATCTTTTATTCCCAAACTGAAATATATGTTACTTATAAATTAATGAGTATATTATCAGAAATTGATTAGTACAGTTTTTAAAAATCATCTATAAAAATTATTCATTTTATGTTTTAAATGCATGCTCGCATTTTATTTTATTTATGCATGTGTATATTTCTTAATCTGTAGTGGTATGTACAGAATGTATTGAATTAAAATTCATAAAGAAAAATTCATAAATTTTTGTAAATTACAAAAATGAACCCATTAACATTTTTAATATGAAAATACGGTGAACGGACCTTGGCCAAATATGTTTTAGAGTTTTCAGCATGACTCTGGACTCTGGATAAATGAGAAGTAGGGTGAACAGTGACAAGGGCGAACACATTTAGGATGAGTGAACATACATGCATACTCTTTAGTATATATGTTCCTGTTAATATAACATCTCTGTTACCATTTTTAGTTAATACATTTATAAATACCTCTCTTCTTGAAATTTGTGATCCACAGCTTTTATCATCTCTGTGTTGTAATAGGTATGTTGTACTGAGTACAAAACACCATGAGGGGTTCACCATGTATCCTTCTAAATACTCCTTCAACTGGAACTCTGTAGATGTGGGACCTAAACAAGACCTCATCAGTATGTGTTCTAATATAAGAATTAATTCTGTTTGTTTTTATCATCATATACTAAGTATGTTCACATATATTGTCACATACATTCATCAATAAATTATACTGTTGTAGGCATGTGTATTTTTAACTCAATCATTTTTCAGTTGTATCTTTTAATGTTCATCATCTGCTGATATTCAAAATCCATTCGCTGAAAGATGATTGGTGAACAGCAATTTCAGCTTGAACTAAGCTTTATATTTGTAAAACAAATCATAGACTCAAACATAAAAAGTAAGGTAAATTATAAAGCTAAATAACAACTTCTGAAAAATACTCACATTCTAAATACTGGTAATCATTTTGGGTTTTATATCAAAGCAGTTTTTCTAGAAACAACTATAATCTTTCTTTTATCTTAGTATTCATAGATTGATGTTTTTGTAATGAATGTACATGTTTCTTCAAACTTAAACCTTTTCAGAATACATATTTGCCTACTTAGCTGGCAGTGGTGTTCATTTTGGAATTTATCACTCTTTGTTTGAGTGGTTTAATCCTCTGTATCTCCAGGACAAGGCCAACAACTACACAACTCAGAAGTTTGTCAAGGTAAGGCATAATTACACAACTCAGAAGTTTGTCAAGGTAAGGCATAACTACACAGCTCAGAGGTTTGTCAAGGTAAGGCATAACTACACAACTCAGAAGTTTGTCAAGGTAAGGCATAACTACTACAACTCAGGAGTTTGTCAAGGTAAGGCATAACTACTACAACTCAGGAGTTTGTCAAGGTAAGGCATAACTACTACAACACAGAAGTTTGTCAAGGTAAGGCATAACTACTACAACTCAGGAGTTTGTCAAGGTAAGGCATAACTACACAACTCAGAAGTTTGTCAAGGTAATGCATAACTACTACAACTCAGAAGTTTGTCAAGGTGATGCATAACTACACAACTCAGAAGTTTGTCAAGGTAAGGCATAACTACACAATTCAGAAGTTTGTCAAGGTAAGGCATAACTACACAACTCAGAAGTTTGTCAAGGTAAGGCATAACTACACAACTCAGAAGTTTGTCAAGGTAAGGCATAACTTCACAACTCAGAAGTTTGTCAAGGTAAGGCATAACTACTACAACTCAGAAGTTTGTCAAGGTGAGGCATAACTACACAACTCAGAAGTTTGTCAAGGTAAGGCATAACTACACAAATCAGGAGTTTGTCAAGGTAAGGTATAATTACACAACACAGAAGTTTGTCAAGGTAAGGCATAACTACTACAACACAGAAGTTTGTTAAGGTAAGGCATAACTACACAACACAGAAGTTTGTCAAGGTAAGGCATAACTACACAACACAGAAGTTTGTCAAGGTAAGGGATAACTTCTACAACACAGAAGTTTGTCAAGGTAAGGCATAACTACTACAACTCAGGAGTTTGTCAAGGTAATGCATAACTACTACAACTCAGAAGTTTGTCAAGGTGATGCATAACTACACAACTCAGAAGTTTGTCAAGGTAAGGCATAACTACACAATTCAGAAGTTTGTCAAGGTAAGACATAACTACACAACTCAGAAGTTTGTCAAGGTAAGGCATAACTACACAACTCAGAAGTTTGTCAAGGTAAGGCATAACTTCACAACTCAGAAGTTTGTCAAGGTAAGGCATAACTACTACAACTCAGAAGTTTGTCAAGGTAAGGCATAACTACACAACTCAGAAGTTTGTCAAGGTAAGGCATAACTACACAAATCAGGAGTTTGTCAAGGTAAGGTATAATTACACAACACAGAAGTTTGTCAAGGTAAGGCATAACTACTACAACACAGAAGTTTGTTAAGGTAAGGCATAACTACACAACACAGAAGTTTGTCAAGGTAAGGCATAACTACACAACACAGAAGTTTGTCAAGGTAAGGGATAACTTCTACAACACAGAAGTTTGTCAAGGTAAGGCATAACTACTACAACTCAGGAGTTTGTCAAGGTAAGGCATAACTACACAACTCAGAAGTTTGTCAAGGTAATGCATAACTACTACAACTCAGAAGTTTGTCAAGGTGAGGCATAACTACACAACTCAGAAGTTTGTCAAGGTAAGGCATAACTACACAATTCAGAAGTTTGTCAAGGTAAGGCATAACTACACAACTCAGAAGTTTGTCAAGGTAAGGCATAACTACACAACTCAGAAGTTTGTCAAGGTAAGGCATAACTTCACAACTCAGAAGTTTGTCAAGGTAAGGCATAACTACTACAGCTCAGAAGTTTGTCAAGGTAAGGCATAACTACACAACTCAGAAGTTTGTCAAGGTAAGGCATAACTACACAAATCAGGAGTTTGTCAAGGTAAGGTATAATTACACAACACAGAAGTTTGTCAAGGTAAGGCATAACTACTACAACACAGAAGTTTGTTAAGGTAAGGCATAACTACACAACACAGAAGTTTGTCAAGGTAAGGTATAATTACACAAATCAGGAGTTTGTCAAGGTAAGGCATAACTACACAACTCAGAAGTTTGTCAAGGTAAGGCATAACTACACAACTCAGAAGTTTGTCAAGGTAAGGCATAACTACACAACTCAGAAGTTTGTCAAGGTAAGGTATAATTACACAAATCAGGAGTTTGTCAAGGTAAGGCATAACTACACAACTGAGAAGTTTGTCAAGGTAAGGCATAACTACACAACTCAGGAGTTTGTCAAGGTAAGGTATAATTACACAACACAGAAGTTTGTCAAGGCAAGGCGTAACTACTACAACACAGAAGTTTGTTAAGGTAAGGCATAACTACACAACTCAGAAGTTTGTCAAGGTAAGGCATAACTACACAACACAGAAGTTTGTCAAGGTAAGGCATAACTACACAACTCAGAAGTTTGTCAAGGTAGGCATAACTACACAACTCAGAAGTTTGTCAAGGTAAAGCAAAACTACTACAACACAGAAGTTTGTCAAGGTAAGGTATAATTACACAAATCAGGAGTTTGTCAAGGTAAGGCATAACTACACAACTGAGAAGTTTGTCAAGGTAAGGCATAACTACACAACTCAGAAGTTTGTCAAGGTAAGGCATAACTACACAACTCAGAAGTTTGTCAAGGTAAGGCATAACTACACAACTCAGAAGTTTGTCAAGGTAAAGCAAAACTACTACAACACAGAAGTTTGTCATGGTAAGGGATAACTTCTACAACACAGAAGTTTGTCAAGGTAAGGCATAACTACACAACTTAAAAGTTTGTCAAAGTAAGGCCATTCTTCTTACAACACAGAAGTTTCTAAGCTTGGGTCGTATTTTGTCTAATATGTTTGATACCATTTGTCAGGTCATTCCATTTGTACTAAATTTGACTACATAGTACTCTGTATGCCTGATTGGTGCATGGGGCTCGCGATTGTTGTGGCCGGTCAGCAGGGGATGCTTACTCCTAGACACCTGATCCCACCTCTGATGTATCCGGGGGTTCCCCATTCATGATTCATTTTGTTTACTGGATTTATGAGATTGATCACTGTTTGTTATCTTCACATTCAATGGTCACAGTAGACCAATCATTACACAACTCAAATGTTAGTAACAGTAGACCAATCATTACACAACTCAAATGTTAGTTACAGTAGACCAATCATTGCACAACTCAGAAGTTTGTAAAAGTATGGAAATTAACCCACAAATAAGAGGTTTTAAAGGGTAATGCCAATAAGTACAAGGCTTATAGATATATTAAGGTAAGACAGTAACTGAACAACTCAGGCCAAAATTACAAGATGTTGTTTGCCTTTTTTCTGACCCAGACTTTTAACGATGGGTAGGTAGGTAGGAAAAATATTAATTTTTCATCATAAAATTCAGATACATCTCCGTGCAAAATTTTATCATCACTGCAATTTACTAAAGCAATCAACACAAAGGGATTTGTCTCTTAATTGCCATATTTCCCTCTAAGATGTCAAATATTGTATGAAATTCATATTTTTTGGTTTGTTAAGTCTCAGTCAACAAAACACTTTATACCTCTGAGAACATTAAATTAATTAAAGCATCTGAATACATCAAAAAAATTATGAAATAATTAACCTGCTGAAAATAGACATAAAACAATTCAAATTTTAAAAGATCATAAATAAAAGGAGGAATAAAATATTTTGAGTAAGGCTATTTTTTTTTTTGGGGGGGGGGGTCTGTAGGCTACTGGCAAACAAACAATAAACAATATTTTAATTTAGGCCTCACATGCATATCAGCATAAGGTCAAAAACTTGTCACAATTCAAGGGTTTAGTATTAAAGGTCATCACCTTTTCTCCAGTAAATGTGACACTATAGTATTGTAAAGTGTCCGTATCACATGACAAAACTCTTTTGCACATATGTAACAGTATGTGAATATCATCACAAGGCTCTGCAAATAAAACTGCAACATAGTGAAAGAGATTTTATTGTTTTCAGGAAAAAGGAATGGCAGAATTGTATGAGATTATTGAGATGTATCGTCCAGATGTGGTGTGGTCAGATGGGGCTTGGGAAGCACCAAGTGCTTACTGGAATTCCACTCATTTTTTGGCATGGCTGTACAATGAAAGGTTTTGTATAAAATAGCATAATTTCAGGAGAAGTTGTCCTTGACATATGACAATATCTATCTTTAATTAAATAAATAAATAATTGTGATACAAAGATTTGGCAACAAGTGAGCACTTCACTCAAAATAAACATTTTTATTATTTGCAGCCCTGTTAAGAACACAGTAGTGGTAAATGACCGATGGGGATATGACTCTACTTGTAAACATGGGGGATTCCTCACCTGTGAAGATAGATTCAGACCAGGTTATTGCTAAATTATAGCATAAATGTCAAGATAATCATGGTAACAGGAAATAAGTAAACACATTCTTATTAAGCAGTGACAATGGAAATTATACAAAAAACAAACAAACAAACAAACAAAGTTTGTGGGGATATATAGGAATCACCTTGTATCCATGCAATCTTGTCTGGGTTATAATTTTGTAACAGAGAATCATTGGAAGTCATACTTCATAAAAAACTGATTATGACCTAAGGGTGTTTCATGACCTTGACCAGACATCTTGACAAGTTCAAGGTTTCTGTTAGAGATGTCATGTTGACAACTTCTTGATTGAGAAATATTGGAAGTTCATGCTTAATATAAAGATTACTAATGACGTGGAGGAATGTCATAATATTAGGGATGTCAACGAATATTCGAACATTCGAATATTCATTCGATGAGTTGATATTCGAATATGAATTTAAGATTCGAATATTCAGTGTTTTTCAGATTTCATAAAAAGATTCTGAAGTACAGTGATTAAGAACATTGCCGGAATCATCCCCTTTTTAATTTATTATCGATCAATTTCGATCGCCTGAATTTCTTCATTACTTCCTTATCTTATATATCTACTAAATTATTTTGTTTTGAGTAAGGTATTAAAGAATTATACATTAATGCTTTATATATAATACAGAACATACTTTCATAGTTTTTATTAGTTAAATACCATCGGATCTAAAATCGAGGACAACAAAATGAAAACCTTCTTAGAATGTCTAAAAGACATGAAGAATATACTTATCAAAATAAATTTAATTGATCATTAAATGAATATCCGATAGAATTAGTCTGTAATTAATATTGTAAAGGGCTCAATTTCAGAATAAATGTGTAAAGTCTCTGATTATCGTGGGTTGTACATAATCCTGAATTTTATATTCATTATCGGGAAATTAGCTAATTAGCTAGGAAGATTGTCTATGGAAATGATTGTTTATATTTGTATCAAAGATTATAATCATATCTCGTATTAGGCTAATAATTGTAATTAATTACACGTATTGAAATATATTCGCATACTTTCATTGAATATTCGAATATAAATTGTTGACAAAATTGACAAATCCCTACATAATATTGATTCAAGGTCATTTGTTTATTAAAAAAAATCAAGGTTACTTAAGGATACACCAAACGTTTCCAAATGCTAGAATTTAATTTGCATGCAATTCTTTCATTATCAAAGATAACATAATAAAAGTATATATCATTTGAAAGCTTGTTAAATTTACTATTTAATTACCCTAATTTAAACTTTAATTAATAACTTATTTAAAAATTATTTAAATATTAATGTAAATTTTAGTGCATAAATATTTCATAAATCAACTTTTTTGTATTTAACCCCTCAAAGTGGTCATTTTGCCTCAAGGTAGATTAAAGATTGGACTTAAAAACTGTTTCTCAGATTTTTGATAAATCTTCTAATTCGAAAGTTACAGCCATTTGCCCTTCAATGTTACCTATTTATTTACCTAATTTAACATTTCCCTCAATAATTCCAAAACTAAGCTAGATATCAAAAATCTGAGATACAGTTTTGTGAACACACATTTGAGAAGCAGCCCATCCAATTTTCAGAGAAATTGGTCAAAAAGTGAGGGAGCTGAATCCTTTGAAATAATACCACAAACTGTGTGATCTTACTTTACATTAGAGGACAGAAACCCATTACACAACAAAATCTGCCAAAGCTAGGAATATATGACACCTTGGAGATTCAGCTTTGGATACCTGTCACTTAGCCATATTTCTTATGCATATTCACAAGAATGAGAGGTTCTTTTCTGTATTTAGATGCCTTTAATTAAGTAAAATAGGTTCAATTCTGAATCAGAAAGATTTCCTGGCAAAATGACAAGAGCTAAGCTCCACCTCCTATTTTATGGTCATCAGTGATCTGTTAGATCTCCTTCTCTAAATCTAGAGTCCCTGTAGTTTAATTACTGATAATCTCTGTGTGGCTAGTGAAGAATTCCCCAAGTGGTCACAGTGATTTATTGCGTCTTTCATGAGCAGGCAGTCACAGATCAAATCAGAAGCTTCAATAACAGAACATTCACATTTGGTAGTGTTTATGTTTCATTATTGTTAAATAATTAGAAAACCATTTTATAATTACCAATAATTTTACATGCATTATAAAGCAATGTTTAACTTCTTTTTCTTAGCCAAAAATCTCAAAATTGATGAAAATCTTTAAAAAAGCCTTTGGTGTATCCTTAAAGAAAAATGTTTAATTCCAGTTCTGACTATATTTTATAATGGAGAACATTAGAGACTTATACTCATCTCAAACATTTCATATGATCTGGGGTATGAATTGGCCACGATCCAAGGTCATTCCAGCAAGTTCAAGGTCATTGGCAAAAAAACCCAGGGTTCGACACTTAACGTTAGTCGGTTAGTCTCAGACTAATACGTTTTCATTTGGACTTATAAAATCTGTGGTTAATTTGTCCGAACGGACCAATAAAAAATTATGGAAAACAATATGAGTAAATTACCGATGTCCGATTCTTGAAAACTTTTACTGGAAAACCCCCCATATATTTTTAGCTTTCTAACTTCTTGGCAGGTAGTTAGGTAATTCGGAGTCAATTCAGCGCATAATTCTACGAATGATTGATATGAAGTTAAACGTTTTAGCGATCATGATTTAGTATGACGCATGAAAGAAAGATGTCAGACATTTTGAGTGTAAAATAGAGAAAAGAATGAGATAGGGAATACAATCGTACTTCCTGATTGCGAGATTTCAACTGTGGAATAAAACAGCAGTTTTAAAAATGCATTCTGAAAATTGAATAATATCTGTATAAATAAGAAAGAACAAAAGAAATTTTTAAACCGAATATCATACAAATGAAATTTAACATGTATGAAGCTTATTCTCAGTCACAGGTCCATGGGGCGTGGAAACAGGTCAGTCAAATGAGATCGTAAAAAACGTAGGGTCATGCAGTGTCACAGTATACATGTAGATGTCGGCACGATAAAGATCCCTTAGTGATGCTTTACATGAAATATATGGAGATAACGAACAGTATTCAAGCTCAAAAGTCCATTAAACAATACAAAATAGGAGCAGAGCAAACACGGACCTCTAAACATCAGAGGTGGGATCAGGTGCCACGGAGGAGTGAGCATCCCCTGCCTACCGGTCACACCCGCCATGTGCTCCTTGTCATGATCGGGAAATAACGGAAAAATCCGTTGAAAATTCAGTGTGTAAATAATGGCCTAACAATTAGTATGAAAAAACGTCAGTCAGCATTTGACTCAATGATAAATTGTATTTGCTGACAAGGTCATTGTATCGACCATAGAACTTACGAAATGATGACTCTAAACGAGACAGCTGATATTCTTGTTTCATCAACTTGTTTATCAATAATTTACCTCGTTTTAGAAATTGTTCATACGTAGAGCATGCTCTTGCGTATCGAATCAACTGAGAGATATATACCCCGTATGCAGGTGATGAAGGTATATTGCTGCATAAGTAAGGGAAGTTGACGATTGAAAAGTTAAAGTCATCATGTTTATCATAAAGCTTGGTTGTTAGATTACCATTAACGTCTTTTTCAAGTAAAATATCCAGAAGACACATTTGTGAATACCATCTTAACACTTCTTAGTCATGGTATATTTAATTCACGAAATGTTTCAAGGGTGTAGGATTGTGCTAATAAGTTAAAGATGTATATTAAGACTGATACATCGCCGTTGTTTTATAACACTAAATAACCCTCTGTGGTCACATGTTGTGGGCGCCAAATGAGAGTAAAACAAAAGCCGCCATTCTGATAAAAAACGAATTTTGATGAAATTGTATTTTATAAAGTTGATAAACAATAAAAATAAATATTTAAATAATCTTATTAAAAAAACATTTCAGTCGGCACGATTTAAGTGGGTCAGTCGCGTTAGGGGAAACAAACCTATTTTTTATTTTGGCCTTGTCATGCTTATTTTTTAAATTAATCATTACAAAACATTGATGTTTGCCTACTTTTTGACGGACTGATAAAATCACGTTTGGACTAGTAAAAGTAAAGAAGCACTAGTCCGACTGGATTAAAGCCTAAAAATGTTAGTGTCGAACCCTGAAAAAGTATATATGCGACCTGCCTTCAACTCTCCACTGGAAGGTTTGGCTAATTGGAAGTTGCTACTAGATACAAGGATTTTTTGTGACCTGTGGCTGTGTCAGTACCTTGACCCAAGGTTATTCCAGCAAGTTTAAGGTGACTGGCAGAAAAAGTATTAATAATTTGTTTGGTCTACAACTCTTTTATGGAGAGGCATTGGAAATTCGTACTTCAAACAAAGATTGCTTATAACCTAAAGATTGTTGTGACCTTGACCCAAGGTCATTTAATCAAGTTCAAGGTCATTTGTAGAAAAATGTTCAATCCCTGTTCTGGCCATATCTTGAAAAGTATTACATTAGAGTGTCACTTTTATACAATATTGCATATGATCTGAGGATATGTCTTGACCATGACCCAAGGCCATTCCTGCAAATTCAAGGTGACTGGCAAAAAAGTGTTTTATTTGTGTTTGGTCTTTAACTCTCAAACAAGCTTATTGGAAGTTGATGTTTGACACAAAGATTGCTTATGATCTTGGGGTGCATCTTAATCTAACTCCAAGTCATTTTGGCAAGATTAAGGTCGCTGGCAGAAAAGATTAAATTTGTATCTAGTCTATAACTTTCTTATGGATGAACATTGGAAGCTCTTACTTCACACAAATATTAATTATGTCCTGGGGATATGTCTTGACCTATGGTCGTTTCTTCAAGCTCAAGGTCACAGGCAGAAAATCATAAAATTTTTGTTGGAAGTTAAAGCATAAAGTAGAGAGTATTTGAGAGCCAATTTAATTAAAATTAGACTTTCCAAATCCATAACCACCTCTCAAACATCTTACAACATCCCATGTGGGGTCATGTAAGAGCACACTTTTTGATTAGCCAGTGAAATCGCAGCCACCAAAATCTTGGCTTGTAGTTTCTTTTTCACAGCAAAACCTGAAAACCTTAGGATTTTTGTTGTAAATAAAACTATGGCAATGGACATTCTGTTTTTGAATGTGGGATGAAGGATATCTTGTATAGTTTGTGCATTTTTCATTTGCAGTATTCAGGAAAGAATGGCAGATGGGTGGACTATACATCCAATGTATACCACCATCAACTTAAATCAATGTAAAATAGACTACTGAGCAGCAGAAATGTTGCAGTGGAACTATTTTAGTAGCATATACAGAATCTTGAACTGGCCAAAATTTTCATGTTCAATCATAATTAAAAGGTAATGCTGCCATGACCAGTATGGGATGTTGTTAGATGTTTGAGAAGTGGTTGTGGATTTGGAATATCTAATTTAACTAAGATTGTTTGTGAGCTAAAGGTATGTCATAGCCTCTACCATTGTCATTGTGGCAAGTTCAAAGTCACTGACAGGACAAAATTTGCACAAAAATTTTACTCAGGAAAAGTGTAAAATTCATGTCAGGTCCATAGTTTTTTGGTGGAGAATCATCGGATGTCCATATTTCACTTAAAGATTACCTATGATCAAAGAATGTGTCATTGATTTTAACAAAGTTTATTTTTGCAAGTTCAGGGTCACATCTACAAAATTGGAAATGAGCACTTTGAAAAAGATTGCAGCTGGGGATATTATTTTGTTAACTAACTTGCAGCACTTCTACATGTAGTTTGACCAAAGAACACATACATTTAAAATGAAATACAGTTAAAAAGTTGTTTTTGGTACAAGATATGCAGAACTTTGAACTGGAGAAAATTTACAGTTTCTTAAGTATTGGCACATGTACCTAGAAAAATCTTTACTATGCACAGAATGTCCTATCAGTATGCAAAAAAGTCTATTGTCATCTTAAATCCAATTTCAATTTAAACATTGATAAAAATAGATATGATCATGTTTTCTTTTATTTATCTTTATATGTTCCCTCCAGGAATCTGCAAACAAAACAGAAGGAATCCTCTGACATTTTATAGAAAAAAGGCTCATTAATAGTGGTTAAATGATTCAGTAAACTTGAACAGACTTGATTTCTCAAAATTTTACATTACCAAGCAAGTTTTAATAAATGTTGATAATTATGTACATTTCCAGGGAAATTACAGAAAAGGAAGTGGGAAAATGCGATGACCCTGGACCGCATCTCCTGGGGGTTCAGACGTAATGCTGACCTAGCAGATTTTCTTTCCATGGAGGAGTTGCTAGAACTATTGATCAGCACAATAAGGTATCAGTGTATGTTGTATTTCACTGTCTTATACTGTAAGGTAACGGTAATCTCTTGTGATTATCAAATTAAAATGTAAACATTTTTAAAAGCATCTGTAAACATTTGAAACTAAGCAGTTTATAGATCTTCATGTGATAACATACAATTATAGCTGGTTTTTGAGGTCAATACGATGATTTAGACACCTGGGAAGTACAATATTCACCAAGCCCGAAGGGCAAGGTGAATATTGTACTTCGAAGGTGGCTAAATCATCGTATTGACCAAAAAACAGCAATAATTGTTTTATTATATGATTCAAAGATTAAATGACACACACTCATTAAGCATACCATCTTACTTGTTCACACCTACTGAAGTACTAGCCAAACATAATGAGAGAAATGGGGTTAAAAACTACCAGTTGTATTATTTTGGAATTTTTAATTGTAGTTTAGGTGCAATGTAGAAAAATTAAATGTCAGGCATATATATAGGATTGATTTTGAAAAAGGGAGCATTAAAAGGAAAAAAAAAATGACAACTTACCTGAAAACAAATCTTTTACTAGCCCCCCCCCCCCCCCCCCCCCCCCCCCCCCCAAGGAAAAGAATTCTCCAAACTCAAAATTTCATTTGGTGGGATGTAAAGGTACATAAAAGAGGGGAGGGGCTTTCATTGAAATTTTTTATCTTTGAAATTTAAAATTAAACTTTACATTCTCAAAAGGTAGGAAGAGGGGCAGGCCTCCTGCACCCCCCCCCCCCCCAAACCTTCATCCAAGAATCTATGTGTCTTAATGTTATGTTCACATGAGTGGAAGTCAGGTGCAAGTGAAATAACTTTCCAAAACTATTTGCATCAATTCGGATTTTCCTTATCTGTTTTTTGTCCATTGTAGAATAAATAATTCCTTATGTTGACCTGGAAGGTCATGTGCAGGTTAATATATCGTAGTATTTTTCTAACATTTTTGGATCTTAGCCAATCAGAGAGATCGGAATTATTCAGTCATATAATAATGTAATTTGTAATCAGAAAGCTTTTTTTTTATCAAAGCTTATTCATCTTTTAGCTATGGAGGAAATATTTTAATCAATGTTGGACCAACTCCATACGGAACATTTTCACCAATTTATGAGGAGCGATTCAGTCAGTTAGGGTCGTGGTTGAAGGTCAATGGTGAGGGTATCTACTCAACTCAACCTTGGATTCATCAGAATGACACTATCACCCCTAAAGTCTGGTAAGTCAACTTTGTAGGTCAAATATATCTTTAAGTATTCACTTCATTATTCATTATTGATTATTTTAAAGATATATAAATCATTGAGGAACCATTATTTTATTTTTTGTGTGTGTACCTGAGATTAAAGATTAGGAGGTAATTGTTATTTCTGACTGAATATTTGGATAATGGAAGGTGAACCTTTTTATTTGGTTCAAAGTCATTCAAAAAGGTCAAAGGAAAATATAAGTGGTACTTGTCACTTTCACTATTCTACTGATATATTGCATCAAAATATTTTTAAGTACACTTTAATTACAGGTAAACTTTTATTTCAGGTATACTGCACCAAAAGCAGACAAGAAGGCTGCATATGGTTTTTTCCTGGATTGGCCAGTAGATAATGAGTTAATCCTTGGCTCTGTAAGTGGGTCTACTCTTTCTAATGTAGCCTTGGTTGGAAGTAACAAGACTTTGACTTGGGAAAAAAGTGGTAGTGGGATTAAAGTATTGATTCCACCACTCAACATAAGACAGATGCCATGTCTTTGGGCCTGGGCCCTCAAGTTCACATTCCATTAACTACTGTGATACAGGATATTTTAGTTAACCTGGAGAAATGACATGGGCAGCACCAGACAGCAAGTTTAATTCTTATAAATCCATTGAAAGTTTGGTGTTATTTGTAACATGACTTTTAAACTGTAAACATCATCTAATCATGGGGGCCCATTTTTGTGGATTGCTTAATTCACAGGGTTTGTTTGGATTGAATTTTGTGGGCAATTGTCATGTTATATTTTGTTTGCATGTTACACTTTACCAGCATCATGTATCAGTCTTGTGTTGTTTTGACATCTAATTTTTAAATTTACTATGTATCAACCATCAAAATATTTAGCAAAAGATCTTGATAAATTTCATACTAGTATATCTTAATGAGCATAACAGCACTGTATAAAGCTATATTTTTGCTTGAAACACCCTCAATTTCAACTTGATCAATTTCATTTGATGAAAATCCTTGTGTAATTGTCAATTATGTAAATTGTGAAATAAGATAACTAAAAGCTGTATGCAATTTAAAATATTTTATTTGGATTCTCATTTTTCAATGGTGACTTTCAAAAGAATAGCAAACAATGATCAATGTTGGGAAATGATTTCCCTGAGGAAGCAGTAAATGGGCAAATAAAGTTATAAATGTACTGTATTCTATAGAAGATAGATAAAGAATGTGAGGTAGTTAGGTAGTTAGCAAGAGTCTGGTTACTGAACATGAGATTCTGAGGTGAGGACACAGAACATAGGTCTGGTCAAGGGAAACCTGGGGCTGGTTTTACAAAAGACTTCAATACTCTGTGTTTCTAATATCTTGCCTAATTATTGTTGATTAAAATTGCTCTCTCATAAATTTTTGTGCAAATTTTTAAGAATTAGGATAATATACCTTTTTCACATTTCATTGTTATGTAAAGAAGAAAATAATTTTGCCAAAACAGATTGTGGTCTTGGTTGTAAGTTCTTTCGTAAAATGGGGGTCAGCATCATCAAACTCTCTCAGTTTTATTATAACTGATACAAAAGTTAACCCATTGTGAACTGGTGATATCAGAGGTGGATCAGATTAAAACAAGTCTTATACCATGAAATTTGTTTTTGGGGGACAAACGTGAACTTAAATGCATTTTAGAAATAAGCAAATAATGAGTACCTTTATGCAAAGTGAAAATTCAGTAGAGGTATAATAATTCCAATATATACTTTCAAGTTAAATATATTTACCTATTCAATTCAATGATGTTTGCTTTTCTATAAAACCAAATTGTTTTTTTAAACAAACATTCATAGTCGCTTTTTAGCACACCTGAGCCGAAGGCTCAAGTGAGCTTTTCTGATCAAAATTTGTCTGTCGTGTCGTTGTTGGCATTTTCATCTTCTTCTCCAGAACTACTGGGCCAATTTCAACCAAACTTGGCACAGAGTATCCTTGGGTAAAGGGGATTCAAAATTCTTCAAATGAAGAGCCACACCCTCCTCCAAGGGGAGATAATTATGAAATAGCAGAAAATTTATGGCATCATTGAAAAATCTTCTTCTCAAAAAACCAATAAGCCAGGAAAGATGAAACTCATGTGGGATCATTGTCAGGTAGTGTAGATACAAGTTTGTTCAAATCATGACCCCTGGGGTAGGGTGGGGCCACAGTGGACGATCAAAGTTTTACATAGGAATATATAGAAAAAACTTTGAAAAATTGTCTTCTCAAGAACAGTAAAGCTATGATTGGTCATATTTATATGGAAGCATCCTCAGGTGGTGTAGAATCAAATTTGTTCAAATCATGACCCCCGGGGGTAGGGTGGCGTCGCTATGGGTGGTCAAAGTTTATATAGGAATATAAGGAAAACAATCTTAAAAAATCTTCCTCTCAAGAACAGCAAAGCCATGATTGTTCATATTTATATGGAAGCATCTGCAAGGTGGTTTAGATTCAAGTTTGTTCAAATTGTGACCACCGAGAGTACTAGGGAAGGGCCACAATGGACGATCAAAGTTTTACAAAGTAATACATCAGAAAAATCTTTTAATTAAAATCTTCTTTTCAAGAACAGCAAAGCAATGATTGGTCATATTTATGTGAAAACATCCTCAGGTGGTGTAGATTCAAGTTTGTTCAAATCATGACCAGCGGGGGAAGGGTGGAGCCACAATGAACGATCATAGTTTAAGGAGTATATAGAAAAAAACTTTTTAAAAAATTTCCTCTCAAGAACAGCAAGCTATGATTGGTCATATTTATATATAAGCATCCTCAGGTGGTGTAGAATCAAATTTGTTCGAAGCATGACCCTTGGGGGTAGGGTGGGGTCACTATGGGGGGTCAAAGTTTTATATTGGAATATAAGGAAAAAATCTTTAAAAATCTTCTCAAGAACAGCAAAGCTATGATTGGACATATTTATATGGAAGCATTCTCAGGTGTTGTAGATTCAAGTTTGTTCAAATCATGACCCCCAGGGGTAGGGTGGGGCCACAATGGACGATCAAAGTTTTACATAGGAGTACATAGGAAAAATCTTAAAAATCTTCTTCTCAAGAACAGCAAAGCCATGATTGGTCATATCTTCAGTGTGTCATGTATAACTATCAACAGGTCATATTATTACTTATATTGTGGACATAAGGTCATATTGTTACTTATATTGTGGTCATCAGGCCATATTATTATTATATTGTGGTCATCAGGCCATATTATTACTTATATTGTGGTCATCAGGTCATATTATTACTTATATTGTGGTCAACAGGTCATATTATTACTTATATTGTGGACATAAGGTCATATTATTACTTAATTTGTGGTCATCAGGTCAAATAATGACATGTTGTGGTCATCGGGTCATATTATGATCGACTCCTGTTGTGTCATCAGGTCAAAGCAAGTACATATATCATGACTTTTGACATGTGGTTATCAGGTCCCACATGTATTATGACTTTTGATATATTGTGGTCATCAGGTCATATTTTTAGGTTTGACATGTTTTGTTCATTGCTTTATGTACTTTATCCATGCATACTGTGATAAAAGAGCCATTTTACTGTGAATATACATGTAGTTAGGATTAGTTATGATTATAATCATTTTCCTAGTTTTAATTCCAAACAATATTACCTTGTTCATTATTCTCAGGCAGTCTGCATCAAGTAATGTTTCATATTCTGCTTGCCTTATACACCTGTATTTGACTTACATTAATTTTATACATAGAATGATCTTCGCTGTTATTTGATGCATTACTTGATGAAATCCTTTATATATTTCCTTGTTATATAGTGATCATATTTGAATAATTAATAATTATGCTTGCAGTGTATTGCATAAACAAGAAGAAGTATGAGTCAATAGTGAAAAACACAATTACAGTAGCACTTGATTATCTCACTTCTAGATATATTTGGGTCACCTAGCTAAGTTATCCACTTGACAATATTGCTATGGTTTCCCATCCTTTGTGTCTTGTTTAAACATTTTCAGCTCTTTCTCTGATTTGCCTGAATCAATTTCAAACAAGATTGTTATGAAACATCTATATTGCAAATTTCATGGTCCCAACCTTTTGGGACCTGAGGAATGGGGCCAATACCAATATAACATTGAAAATCTTAATTTCTCTTTATTCCAGGATATCTAGTCTGTAAACTGCATAATTATTTTAGTCAGACCTTTACCAAAGTTGTGAAATCCATTTCTCCATGACCCAGCTATGGTTCAGGTCTCGGGATGCATGGGGGTCACATATAAATTGAAGTCATCTTTACTTATGGACATCTAGTGAGCAAAACTGTTTGCATGATTACATGTACAATGAAACCCTATATAAAAAAAATTATAAACTCATGTCCCCTGGGTATAGAGTTCATGCAGTCACAAGGCTGGGTTAAATTGGTCATATACATGTATTTAAAATGCATTATAACTTAAGTTAGGAGACAAGCTTCCTGAATATGAAACTGAACATAGAATTCTCACCAAATTCATGTGGCACGAGTTGAAGTTCCATTTCCTGTAGGGGCTGAGTTGGTCAAGACAGAGAAACTCGTGGTACTCAGGTGACTCTCAAAGCCTCTTAAAATGTGTACAATTTAGTTTAAATAACAGTTTATGTAACTGCTTTGTTTGATTTTAAGACTGGTTATATATGTACATGTATTGTTTACTTGTCAGTAATAAATTTGGTAAGCAATGTATTTGTTTCCTTTTCTTGATTTTTTATTGCACAACGTAACAAGGGGCCCATGGGCCACATAGCTCACTTGAGCACATTGGCTAGGAAAAAACAGAAATCAGTTCAGTATTGAAAAGTTTAATCTTACAATACCTTCTTTATAAATATGACTAATAATGGCTTTGCTGTTCTCAAGAAGAAGATTTTTAAAGACATTTCCTGTATATTCCTATGTAAAACTTAGACCCCCTCTTGTGGCCTCGCCCTACCCCCGGAGTTATGATATGAATAAATTTGAATCTAGAATATGTAATGAAGCTTTTACATAAGTTTCATCTTTTTTTGCCCAGTGGTTCTTCACTTCTTGGGAAGAAAATTTTTAAATGAATTAGATGCCACGAAATTTTCACGAATTCTTAACTATCTGCCCTTGAAAAAAGGTGTGGCCCTTCATTTGAAGAAACTTGAATCTCCTTTATCTAAGGATGCTTTGTGGCAAGTTTGGTTGAAATTGGTCCAGTGGTTCTTGAGAAGTCGAAAATGTGAAAAGTTTAAAGACGACAGACAGACATCGGGCTTTGATCAGAAAAACTCACGTGAGCCTTCGGCCTCAGGTGAGCTAAAAAACCAGCACTGAAAGGATTTTTTTTTATTTGATTAAAAGTATAATTAAGTTGAATTCTGATTCTGTCTCAGTATCTTAGTATTGATGCATGTGTATGGGCAGTAGAAAGGGTAAAAAAAGACAATGCAAAACAGACAATTAAATTGTAAATACAAAACCAATGAAATCAAGAGATTCAATTGCAAAACCAACATACTCCGTTGCAAAACGAACAATCACCGATTACATGCAAAATCAATAGTCGTAGATGGCTTTTGACTTTTATATTTGAATTGTGTAAAGCCAAAGGGTTCAACTCTGTAATTTCTGAAACACATGTTTAAAGCTTTTAAAATAATATTATGTAGATTGTTAGTTGTGTACTATCGGAACTCGTTTATCTTAATTAACTATCCTGTGCAAAATGTAAAAGAAAACTATGTCAATAAGAAACATTGTAATTCGTTGACTTACAGTACATGTGATTTGTCAACTCGTAAAATGTAAATTATTTATTGCGTTGCATATTTAGAGGAACTGAGATTTAATTCTGAGAGTGGTACTCCAATTTGTACCCATAGTTCCCTTTCTATGTAGGAAATTCTTTAAAAAAAATCAAAATGAGTTTGAATTATCATACCTATACTGGATTCCTAAACTTAAAAATCCTTACAAAGATACATAGCGGGTTCGAGTAGATGTTCTACCAAGCCTCTCTCTACTCCTCACAAAAATATTAACAGCAGTGGAGGAGAAACTTCAGGAGTACTGTACAATAATATATTGGAGAAGTGGTGTAAATCAGCGTGAATAACGCGGAGATAATAAAAACTCCAAGGAACTTAGAGAAAATTTGAAATCACAAAATTTTACCAAAATCAAAAACATCAAAACGTAAGACTTCTCAATATTTTATACAACCATTCCCCCACGAAAAATTGAAGTCCAGACTTTTTGGCATCGTAGACAGCTTTTTCAATAAAAATGGAACTCGTAAAAATATTTACCTTGTCATTGGTCATTTGCAAAAATGTTTTGTTAATAAACATTCTGATTGTACACACAACTTCTCCGAAGCTGATATCAAAAAATGCTTGAGTCTCTGATTGACAATATCTATGTAGTTTTTGGAGACTATGTCTTCTAACAAACTGTCAGAATTTCCATGGGTACCAATTGCTCCCTGTTATTAGCAGACCTATTTGGTATTCATGCCATCTCATTCATGTGAATAGCATGAACAGAATTTATTTTAAAAAACTATTACATGTTAGAAAGCTAAATTTACACTAAGATATTTACGTGAAGTTGATGGACCAAAATTTTAATAAAAAGAAATAAAACATAACATAATTAAGATAACACAAATCAAATCTTATTAGCTAGAAACAATTACGAAGCAGCTCAAACACATTTGTCAAAGGAATGTGGAGTCTAATTTGATCAATTTGGTAAAAAAACAAAACAGACATTATTTTCATTTGAAAGAAATTATTTACTTTTTATTTTAACAAGATTTTCAAATCTGATAATAAGCAAATAAAAAACATGTTCCCCAAAATGCTTCATTATTTGATTCTGTATTAAATTGCTATTTATCTAGAAGATTAGAATTAATGTAAAACATTTTCCAAGGTTATTATCTAATTACAACGTGTATGTACAATGTCATGTAAACTGCTTTTGAAATCTTTATTGAAACACTATAACTATAAAACCGAGAACATATCTACTTTTTCAATAATTACAACTGCATGTTACAATTTTTTAAGGCAATAAACATGTAATGTTAACGATAAAAATCATATATAGACACATTCTTTGTGTAACTAAGCATCAATTTAAATGTGAAAAAAGGTCAATAATGTAATACATTTGTATTCCTTGTATTAGCAAGCAATAGAAAGGAAGAGTCTATTACTTAACCAGTCAGGCAATAAACTCTACCCAATAGAAAGGGAATGGCTCGGCTAGCAAGAGCCGTTTTAGTATTTATAATAATCTAGCTGGAGTTTTTGCATCATATATTTCTGGTTTGACTAAGAAAAAAAAACATATTTATGTGTAAAGTAGCTTTTCAAAGTTATTACTATTAATTTACAAGATAAGCGGCCGATAGGACATGTAGTTCTGATCAGTATTTTTTTTTAAGTATCCCTAATTAGATCGGGCTCGAGGATCAGAGGATCATGTGAGAAACTGCTGACCGCTATTTTCGGTTTTGTGTAAAATGCATTCCATTGCATCTTTATTTTGTATTTTCATTTTATCATGGTCAGTTTCGCTCTGCGTCAAATATGAACCTAACTGGGCCTCAATCGACTCGCGCCCTCTACCTGATTGGTATGACGATGCTAAAATAGGAATGTTTATTAACTGGGGGGTGTACTCTGTCCCCAGCTACAGGAATGAGTGGTTCTGGTACAATTGGAAGGGTCCCAAACCAGACCCTGATACTGTCACCTTTATGGAGAAAAATTACCCACCGACCTTTACCTATGCTGATTTTGCAAAGCAATTTAAGGCTGAATTTTATGATCCTTTGAAATGGGTCAATATCATAGAACATTCGGGAGTGAAGTAAGTATATATACATGAAATAACTAAATTGAAGTACATAATTACAATAATCAGTAAAACATGTTTTATGTTAAAGGTGATAATACAGTTATGGACTGTCTAGAAGGGAAACATCACAAATTATCAGGTCTGTCTCTGAGTAGGGTTGTCATGCACCTGAGGCCTGAGGGCACTTGTGCCTGAGGATGACAACCCTACTCAGACCTGATAATCTGTGATGTCTCCCATCTCAACAGTCCATAATAGTTTTATTATCCTGAAAAATCTAAATTTAATAATAGAGTAGGAAATATCAGTAGAACCTCATGTGGACCTCTTCTCCCACCAACTACTCTGATTCCATACTATCAAAATATGCCAACAGACAACTTGATGTAACAGTTAGAATGTATTGTTTACCAATTACACATATATATCAATTATATATATATATATATATATATATATATATATATATATATATATATATATATATGTATATATATATATATATATATGTAGAAAGCACAAAGGAATTCACTTTTATAAGGATACCCACTTCCGCCCCAGCCCAGGGTTGAACTCTCAACCTACAGAATCTGTCTCCTAGCAGTACACGAACAGCGCGCTTGACCGCTTGGCCATCTAGGCAAGTCTAAAAACTTGCTTTTGATGCCAATGGAATTCTCATGGCGCCGCCCTACACTACACAGTCATTGAGAATGTAAGTGGATACAGTTATCAGAGGATCGTTATCGATACACATTGTAATGAAATTTAATCTTATTTATAAAGCACATTTTTACAACAACTCTTAATTAAACTGACATAACTGCCCTAAGTGAAGAAATATTAATATAGAGAGCACAAAGAAATTCACTTTTATAAGGATACCCACTTCTGCCCCAGCCCGGGGTTGAACTCTCGACCTACAGAATCTGTATCTAGCAGTACAGGAACAGTGCACTAGACCACTCGGCCATCTAGGCAATTAAATCTTAAAGCTTTTGTTAGTTTAAGAGTTGTTGTAAAAATGTGCTCTAAAAATAAGATTAAATTTCATTACAATGTGTATCGGTAATGATCCTCTAATAAAACTAATGTCCAAATAACTGTATCTCACTCAATCAATTTTCGTTTAGAGTATCACTGGACAAAATAAAACAAATACATTGTGAATTTCATGGTCCTGGGATTGCTGGGATAGGACCCAAACCATCGAACTTCAAAAATCTTTTTCTTTATTCCAATATACATTTATTTAGCAGGAAAACTAGTTGTATGATAATCATTATATCAAGCCAGTAGCCCTCTGCCTTTGTTATGAAAATCTGTGGTCCAAGGTCCATGACCCAGGGTGAAATTGGTCAAATATTAAAAACTAGTTACACCTTGAAAAATATACTTTTTCACTCAAGTAATCCTAGTGGACAAACTGTTTGCATGACTCCTGAGTCCATGTTCAGGCCCCAGGGTAGTGCTTCAGTGGTCATATATTGAAAATACATTTCACCTATGAAATGGACATGTAAAGGGAAACTGTCATAGCCTGAGAAACTTGTGATGCTCATTCACCATCAAGATTCAAAGGCCTTTAGTTTCATTTATAGATTAGCTTTAATATTTGAAATCCAAGGTTGTTGACTTTGACCTTAAAGTTTGAATAGGTAGATAATTTGCAGGGCATGCTTCTGCCTTACTTCTTCAACCTGGCCATATCATCTAAAAACATTTTTTTTGTGTTTGCCTAGAAGGTCAGTTTTGAATTTTCTTTTTTACTTAGGTATGTTGTACTGAGTACAAAACACCATGAGGGGTTCACCATGTATCCTTCTAAATACTCTTTCAACTGGAACTCTGTAGATGTGGGACCTAACCAAGACCTCATCAGTAATGTATATTTTTTATCATAAATGAGACTTTGTGTGTGTGTGTGTGAACATATATATATATATATTTATACCAGTGAAACACGCTTATATCGAGGTGCCAGGGATGGCCAATTTTGCTTTGTTATAAAGGTTATTCGTTATATCCGTTAAGGTCATACAACGTACATGTACATGTATCTTATAATGTACCTTTCCCACTGATAATTTTTCAAGACATTCTTGATTTACAATTATAGTACCATCAGTTGTCCTCAGACAAAAAATCAGCATACATTGCCAGAGGTTTTGAACAGATATCAAATGATGAAAATCCTTGTATTGTTCAAATAAAAATTACCTGTAGCAAAAGTAGTTTTAGCTAATATTTTCACAAAATTGGATTTAGAAGAAGTGAACAGCATCATTAGACATTATAAAAGTCACACAAAGATCATTCAATTATTGGAATTCTTAAATTATACAGAAAATAAGTAATTTTAAAATTTATGATTGGATAATCAAAGTAGATTTTGAGATTTTAGGGTCAGAAATAAAATTGTATCAGCATAGATCACTTGGACAATCAAAGTCAAATCTGATTTCACATTTAAGTTTTGACACCTGAAAATCTTCCAAGAACCTTTACAATAACAAAACTTCATAATATTTCTGAAACTTTTAAAAAATTATATTGAACTGTAAAGTTACATTTTCCCACATTTCACCAAATTATGTGGCTTGGCCAAACATATAAATGTTATGTTGTTAATTATACAAATATCACTTCTTTATTAAGAGGGGCACCTATTTAAGCAAAGATCTGTTACAGTAGTAAAACACACTTATAACAAAGTGCCAGGGATGGACTATTTTACTTCATTAGAAACATGCAGTCAAACCTTGTTATCTCTAACTTGAGGGGGCCAAGAAAAAACTTTGAGATATCCAAGGATTTGAGATGTCGAGGGTAAAATTCTTAAAGAATAAGGAGTTGGGACTTTAAAATCACTTTGACATATCCATGGTATTTAAGATATTGGTGAATTAGATGCCAAATTTCAACTGTAATTTCTCATATCATTAGTTCACAAATATTTAAAGCCAAGGGGAATGAAAACCACTTCACTCTAAGCATCAATTCATTACTAGTGTTTTTGCTATGAGCATGTTTTACTGTATTTAAATTTTGGGGAAAAATTGTTATTTATCCATAAATAGAGATATAGCAGACTGGTGAAACATGATGGCTCTAAGTTCCTTTTAACTGAACAAATTAATTTAAACTTTTCAGAATACATATTTGCCTACTTAGCTGGCAGTGGTGTTCATTTTGGAATTTATCACTCCTTGTTTGAGTGGTTTAATCCTCTGTATCTCCAGGACAAGGCCAACAACTACACAACTCAGAAGTTTGTCAAGGTAAGGCATAACTACTACAACACAGAAGTTTGTCAAGGTAAGGGATAACTACTACAACACAGAAGTTTGTCAAGGTAAGGCATAACTACTACAACACAGAAGTTTGTCAGGTAAGGCATAACTACACAACATAGAAGTTTGTCAAGGTAAGGCATATCTACACAACATAGAAGTTTGTCAAGGTAAGGCATAACTACTACAACTCAGAAGTTTGTCAAGGTAAGGCATAACTACACATCTCAGAAGTTTGTCAAGGTAAGGCATAACTACACAACTCAGAAGTTTGTCAAGGTATGGCATAACTACTACAACTCAGAAGTTTGTCAAGGTAAGGCATAACTACACAACTCAGAAGTTTGTCAAGGTAAGGCATAACTACACATCTCAGAAGTTTGTCAAGGTAAGGCATAACTACACAACTCAGAAGTTTGTCAAGGTAAGGCATAAGTACTACAACACAGAAGTTTATCAAAGTAAGGGATAACTACTACAACTCAGAAGTTTGTCAAGGTAAGGCATAACTACTACAACTCAGAAGTTTGTCAAGGTAAGACAAAACTTTTTTACGTTTATAAGGAAGCATAATTGCCTGTCCCTGGCAATTCATTATAAGCATGTTTTATAGATAGTTTTCATATGACACATTTTCTCTCCGAGTTATTTCCCTTAGCCGCCATCTTGGTGGTCAACCTGGTAATTTTTCCTCTTTGTCTTACCAATTTCAAGAGTGTTTAGAAGAAATATTTGGTGAAAAATCTTTATAGAATAACAAGTATGAAATAAAGGAGGCTTTAACTAACAAATGTATATTTTTCAGAAAAACAATGCTTCCTACCCCACAATACTTACTTACTTATGCCTGCTATCCCTTTTGGGGCATAGGCTGCTAACAAGATTCCTCCAGGCCCCTCTATCCTGAGCAGTGCTTTCTTCCTCCTTCCAGTTCTTGCCCATTCTTTTAACGTCTGCCTCCAGATCTCTCCGCCAGGTGTTCTTTGGCCTACCTCTCTTACGTTTTCCTTGGGGGTTCCAGGATAGGGCTTGCCTTGAGATGTTATTGTGGGGCTTGCGTAGAGTATGCCCTATCCACCTCCACCTTCTCTGCATTATTTCTTCTTCTATAGGGGCTTGGTTTGATCTTTGCCACAAATTGATGTTGCTGATTTTGTCGGGCCATCTAATCCGGAGGATGCATCTCGGACAAGAGTTGACGAATGTCTGGATCCTGTTTGTTGTGGTAACGGTCATCCTCCATGTCTCAGAACCATAGAGAAGCACTGCCTTAACATTGCTGTTAAAAAGCTTAACTTTGGTGCGTATTGTTATTCCCTTGATCTTCCACATGTTTCCAAGTTGCAGGAATGCTACTCTGGCCTTTCCTATTCTTGCTTTTATGTCCGTTTCCATTCCTCCTTGTTGGTCCACTGTACTGCCAAGGTAGGTGAAATGTTCTACTTCCTCTATTTCCTTTCCTTCTATATTTAATGAGGCATGTGATGGTGTGTTTGCTCTTAGGATTTTTGTTTTTGCAATATTGATGTTGAGTACTATCTGTGCTGATGTTTCTGCCACTGTTGTAATTTTCTCCTGCATTTGTGCCTGGGTATGTGATAGGAGTTCTAGGTCATCCGCGAAGTCTAGGTCGTCTAACTGTGACCATGGAGTCCACTGTAATCCATTTCTCCTATTGTTTGTAGATGATTTCATTATCCAGTCTACTGCAAGAAAAAACAGAAAAGGTGACAGTATACATCCTTGACAAACTCCTGTTTTCACTTCGAATGGTTCCGTCAGTTGTCCTCCATGTATGACCCTGCATGCCTGGTGTTCATAAGAGTTGCAGATGATATTTGCCAATTTACAAGGAACTCCATAATGTCACAGAAGTCCCACAATGGCCAGTATAAAAAGTTAAAGTTGGTTGAATAATGGAATATGGGCATGTTGACCTCCAACATGGCGGCCAATGGGAAATAACTCTTGCTGATTTAGGCCTACTGAAAACTATCTATTGTATACAACTCAGAAGTTTGTAAAAGTAAAGCCACTTTATAAGCAATTTAGATGCATGTATTCCTAAAATTAAGGAAAGTTTCACTGTACAACACATCTCACATACACATGTATGTCAGGGTAAGGATTAGAGTTTGTTGAGATAGGGTAGTAAATGCTGAGCCAAGAAGTTTGTCAAGGTAAACCAAGTAAAGAAATTCAAGGCACAGAAGTGTGGCAAATTAAGGATAAGAACAACAGTGTTAAAGATATAAGATTGTCAAAGTAGAGGCATTTACTATTTAACTTTGATCCTAAAGTCAACGAGAGGACAATACACATGTAGATACAAATATCACAGAAGTTTGTGGAGGTATAGAGCTAATGTCTACACGATTCAGGGAAAGACTGTCAATATAATAGAACATGAATGTTACAGATATATTAATTTGGCATCCTTTTTGGGAAAAAAGTTTACTAAATAAGAGATTAGATTGTTGTGATCAAAATATAGATAAACAAATATTTCTGACATTTTTTTTTATCATTTTCAGGAGAAAGGTATGGCTGAGTTGTATGAGATAGTGGAGATGTATCGCCCTGATGTTGTCTGGTCCGATGGTGACTGGGAGGCACTAAGTACTTATTGGAATGCCACACAGTTTCTGGCCTGGCTATACAATGAAAGGTAATTAAACACATCCACACCATAGAATGGCACACCGTTTCTGGCCTGGCTATACAATGAAAGGTAATTAAACACATCCACACCATAGAATGGCACACCGTTTCTGGCCTGGCTATACAATGAAAGGTAATTAAACACATCCACACCATAGAATGGCACACAGTTTCTGGCCTGTCTATACAATGAAAGGTAATTAAACACATCCACACCATAGAATGGCACACAGTTTCTGGCCTGGCTATACAATGAAAGGTAATTAAACACATCCACACCATAGAATGGCACACAGTTTCTGGCCTGGCTATACAACGAAAGGTAATTAAACACATCCACACCAAAGAATGGCACACAGTTTCTGCCCTGGCTATACAATGAAAGGTAATTAAACACATCCACACCATAGAATGGCACACAGTTTCTGGCCTGGCTATACAATGAAAGGTAATTAAACACATCCACACCATAGAATGGCACACAGTTTCTGGCCTGTCTATACAATGAAAGGTAATTAAACACATCCACACCATAGAATGGCACACAGTTTCTGGCCTGGCTATACAATGAAAGGTAATTAAACACATCCACACCATAGAATGGCACACAGTTTCTGGCCTGGCTATACAACGAAAGGTAATTAAACACAATCACACCAAAGAATGGCACACAGTTTCTGCCCTGGCTATACAATGAAAGGTAATTAAACACATCCACACCATAGAATGGCACACAGTTTCTGGCCTGGCTATACAATGAAAGGTAATTAAACACATCCACACCATAGAATGGCACACAGTTTCTGCCCTGGCTATACAATGAAAGGTAATTAAACACATCCACACCATAGAATGGCACACAGTTTCTAGCCTGACTATACAATGAAAGGTAAATAAAATACATCCACACCATAGATGGATATTTTTCTAATCAAAACAGCTTTTTTACAGGAAGTAATATTCATTATTCATCCCAGTGAGCCAATAAAGGAACTTGATAAAACAAAAATGCATTATCACCCTTCAAATGTGTTCAGAACACATTCTTTATCATTGATAAGTGTACCATTACTCGAAAAAACTTTGAATTACATCTTCCATGACTTCGTGAGTATATTGTGAAACTTCTTGAAGTTCACACCTGAATTTACAGGAAGCCTTGAGGAGAAAATTATAGTTTCATACCAAAATATATACAGGACATGAGGCACATCCTTAATTAATTTCAACTTTGTTATTCTGACAATGTCTAATATCACAAAGACAGATTATATGTATTTTGAAAGTTATTTTCTCTTTTTATAATCATCAGGCTATAAAATATGCAAACTGATCCTTGAACAATTGCATTGTTACAGAGTGTAAACTATATTGGATTATAACTCAGTTTTAACCACCTATTTGATCAGTGATGTCATTTGTGACCATCACCCTTTGGGAAGGTCAAAATGACAGAAATGTAAATGATAATAACAGAGGAAGGGATACACATTAAAAATAGATATAATCACAAGAACGGATAATAAGAATGTTAAGTGATCTGCAGTGATCTTTTGAACAACTTAAAACTAAGCTGAATTTCAGTACCTCTGGTGGAGCCATTGTAATTAATAGTATTTGTTTTCTAAACATAATTTTATTTTACTTGTGTTATACAATTGAATGATTCTTAGCTCTTTGATTGGCTGAGGTGCAACATTGTAAAAAAAACCATACCAAGTTACTTAAGTAATAATTTACATCAACACCAGAGACCTAGTACTGTAAATTTTTTATATTCCACAACATGTCATGAAATGCTCCATTTATTGTATGAAAGAATGTTGTGGAAAATTCCTCATTTTTATGCCCCACCATGAATATGGCCCTTCACATACAAGTGTTTGTCATGTCTGTCTTCTGTCCTTCCATCTGTCAGTGTCTGTCCATCACATGTTGCATTTAGCTCAGTTTCAAACAGAACTATTAAAGATATTTAATCAAACTTTATCTGCTGATATATACATATTGATGAGAGCTATTCAACTGCATCAACATTTTTGGAACTTGACCTTTCCTTTGACCTTGTTCTCACTTTTCTTAATTTGTGTTCACCTCAGTTTCAAAGAAACTATTCAAGATATTTTTATTAAACCTTGTATGCTGATACTTTGTATGCAGACTGCATCAAATTTTTTTTTACCTTGACCTTAGTATGCCTAAATTTTGCGATTAGTTCAGTTTTTAAGAAACTATTCAAGATATTTTTATCAAAGTACATATACTGATACGTATTGGTGAGAACTATTCAACTGTGTTCAAAATTTCTGACCTTGTCCTTTTCTTAATTTTGCCTTTAGCTCAGTTTCAAAGAAACTATTCAGGATATTTTTATCTTATGCACTGATACATAATTTGGTGAGAATTTATGAACTAACTGTGTCCATTTTGTTTTACCTTTAATTACTAATTATTGTGTATAAAAGTCAAGATATTTTCATCAACCTTCATACACTAATACAAATTTTTCATGTTGCAAAAATAAAAACTCTGGGTGGGGCATTTGTGTCCTATTGACATACTTCTAGTTTTAATACACAATTAATCCTTATGCATTATTTTTCATTTTGTCGGTAAATTAATTCCTCGGACCACAGCAGGCTTTGAAAGTAAAATATGAAAAACAGAAATATATTACTCTAGACAAAGCTACAATAAATGACACTTTTATAGGAAAATCTTCAAGAAGATTCAGATTTATCAATAGAATTGGTCGTAAGAGGAGAAATACAGGATATTCAGTGTTTTGTAGTTGGATATGAGATTTCTTTCACTGTTTTATATTTTCACAAGTGTGAAGCAAGTGGGGATCATGCTGGATGTACATGTACTCTATGTATATTGTGTTATATGCTAAAGTACTACTGTCTTGATATGTTTGTTGATACATGTAGTGATAGAGTGTAGATAGCACTGGTATATACAGGCAAGTTTCTGAGTTGTAGCTGATTACCAGACTAACTATTGATCATCCTTTTTCTCATTTTGAGTTTCAGTTTTTATGTTTATAATTGTTTAGCATTCCATGGATCCCCTACAGGGTTATTTTGATACTCAGTTGAACGTTAAGGCCCTTCCTTTAGGCCTTTTGTTTTTTTACTTCTATTTAATATTTCTCAAAACAGAGGATGATTCCTTATTAAAGAAGCATATTTTTAATAAACAGAAATGCTTAAGTGTAAAACTGACTCTCTTTTTAGCCCTGTCAAGGATACAGTAGTTGTTAATGATCGCTGGGGATCTGACTCTCGATGTAAACATGGAGGATTTCTTTCCTGTGATGACCGGTTCAACCCAGGTTATTTAACTGAAACTTGTGATTATTTTATATAAAAGTCTAACATTCTAGTATTTTTAGTGAAAATTGTTGACTTACAGTGTGTAAATAAAACGCAAAGAAAATAATCTTCATTTTTATAATTCATGTAGGAAAATTACAGAAACGAAAATGGGAAAATTGCATGACTTTGGACCGTTACTCATGGGGGTTCAGAAGAGATGCCAAATTAGCCGATTATCTCTCCATTGAGGAACTACTTGAACTTGTGCTAAATACTATCAGGTAAGACTATTTCTTTATTATCCTCTCAATACCATCAGCAAAAAAGTTCTACATCTCTCACACAATACCATCAGATAAGTACAGTTCTACATCACTCACACAATACCATCACATAAGAATAGTTCTACATCACTTACACAATACCATCAGATAAGAACAGTTCTACATCACTCACACAATACCATCAGATAAGAATAGTTCTACATCACTCACACAATACCATCAGATAAGAACAGTTCTACATCACTCACACAATACCATCAGATAAGAACAGTTCTACATCACCCACTCAGTGCCATCAGATAAGAATAGTTCTACATCACTCACACAATACCATCAGATAAGAACAGTTCTACATCACCCACACAATACCATCAGATAAGAACAGTTCTACATCACCCACTCAGTACCATCAGATAAGAATAGTTCTACATCACTCACATAGTACCATCAGATAAGAACAGTTCTACATCACCCACACAATACCATCAGATAAGAACAGTTCTACATCACCCACACAATACCATCACACAATACCATCAGATAAGAATAGGTCTACATCACTCACACAATACCATCAGATAAGAACAGTTCTACATCACCCACACAATACCATCAGATAAGAACAATTCTAAATCACTAACACAATACCATCAGATAAGAACAGTTCTACATCACTAACACAATACCATCAGATAAGAACAGTTCTACATCACTCACACAATACCATCAGATAAGAACAGTTCTACATCTTTGACACAATACCATCAGATAAGAATAGTTCTACATCACTCACACAATACCATCAGATAAGAATAGTTCTACATCACTCACACAATACCATCAGATAAGAACAGTTCTACATCACCCACTCAGTACCATCAGATAAGAACAGTTCTTCATCACTCACACAATACCATCAGATAAGAACAGTTCTACATCACTCACACAATACCATCAGATAAGAACAGTTCTTCATCACTCACACAGTACCATCAGATAAGAACAGTTCTACATCACCCACACAATACCATCAGATAAGAACAGTTCTACATCTTTGACACAATACCATCAGATAAGAACAGTTCTACATCTTTGACACAATACCATCAGATAAGAACAGTTCTACATCACCCACACAATACCATCAGATAAGAACAGTTCTACATCACTCACACAATACCATCAGATAAGAACAGTTCTTCATCACTCACACAATACCATCAGATAAGAACAGTTCTACATCACCCACACAATACCATCAGATAAGAACAGTTCTACATCACCCAACTCAGATAGAAGGATTTTATCTGATCACACATCTTTTAGGTCAAAGTCACTTGTAGCATTTAAAACATTATTGTATATCTGCAACTTAGCATCATTAATTCCATGACAGCATGAAATCTTAAAACCCAAAAAAGAAATTTCCACCAGGAACCATGTCCTTTTGAGCTCCTGGGGAGCCTGGTGGCAGAGATTTAAATCCATGAAATATTCATTGGTCATGGGTGATTGTGCAACTTTTTGATTTGAATTTTTGCTATATCTTATAAAGTAGGAAGATTTTCAATGACAAGCTCAATTTTAAAACCACAACTTTTTAGAGACCTCTGGGTTCAAAATCAAAACTTTATTGCATATTTACAGCAACAGGCTAATCCTTTGCAATAAGATTTTTTTTGCTACCTCTTAAACTGTAGGAGGCATAATTATAAGGGATGGACAAGGATAACAATAACATAATTGGAACCATGCCCTCTTTCAAATGGAACAGCAAATCCATGATTAGCTGTATCAATATGCAAGTTTCATAAGGTAGTTCAAATTCAAAATTGAAAAAAATGTGACCCCCATTGGTAAAATGGGACCACAATTGGGGATCAAAGTCTCACATGAGGATATATTGGAAAAAATTTATAAAAATCTTACTAAGAACAGCAGGACCATGATTAGTCATATTTTATATGTGAATATCCTCATTTATTAAATACAGATCCAAAATTGTTAAAATTGTTGCCCCAAGAGATAGGGATGGGCCACAATACAGGATTAAAGTTGTGGGGTTTATGGAGTATTAAATTTATTGCAAATGGACTTTTGCGAGAAGCACTGACTTTTACAGTCAACGGCTTACTTTGACATTCAAACCTGCCTTATGTACGGAGGTACAGAATTGATAAAAGATAAGAAAACCTAATAGTGGTTATAGGTATTTTGTTTGGGGCACTAACATGATTAACTGGTATGTAATTAACATAAGAGATGATGGGAGGCAGAATAACATTGCTTAAATTACCTTATTCATGAGGGTTAGAATCTCCTTTCAATCTCATTTTCTGAAGGAATCAAATAAGGAAGAAAAAACATTCCGGAAGGAAAACTAAGCAAGAGTTGGTCAGTATGGGAGGGGAGGGGGTTGAGGGTAGGGTGGTTGCCGTTCCCTTCCTAAACAGTGTAATAAGTGCTTTGAAATGGCCCATTATTATCGTTTAAGTAACTATTAAGCTTAATATTTATATCACAAAAGAGCTTCCATATACTGTCCTACTGTAAAAGTAAGCCGTCGATTGTAAAAGTCAGCGCTTCTCGCAAAAGTCCAATAGTAGTATATAGAGAAAATCTTCAGAAGTTTCTTTCTCAAGAATATGGTGGCATATTTCTGCCCCTTGTGTGCAAGTTATTTTTCTGTCAAATATGTCGACATGCAAGATTAATATGTTGACATGCAAGATAGTTATGCCAACATGCAACATAACTATTATGAGTTGACATGCAAGAAAATTGCAATCAAATTAGAATTATAAAAAATCTTTAAGATATCTCAAAAATTGCCCACATGTGATTTCCAATATGCTAGATGCTACTTATTTATGTCGACATGCAAGTTATTATGTTCCCCAAACGAAGTTTGGGAACATATTGTTTTTACTCTGTTTCTTATTATTATTATTATTATTATTATTATTATTCTTTTTTTCTACTTTCTTCTCCGGTACTTTTTTGTCCGGGAGTGTTCTCATAGAACCACCCATCCGATTGACATGAAACCTTTTTAGGGTTAATAGGCATGTTGTGTAGGTGTTCGGAACGAAGGTCATTTTGCGCGCACATGCATGCACGTGCGCGCGCGTGCAATGAGTGAAATGACTGATATACTTGATGAAGCTGTAACTTTGATATTTCTTGATGAATTGCTTTGAAACTCAAAATATAAAGATACATTAGTAGTCTAGACAAGATAACATGGTCAAATTAGCGTGAACTCACGCGCATGCACGTGCGCTCTTCTCTGATTGGCTGATACAAAAATCTCAATAATTTCCTTGTTTTTTGACAAAATACTTTGAAATTTAGAATATAAGTATATATTATAAGGTGCTACAACATGTTATATAGGAAATTTCTTGAAAACACGCGCATGCAGGTGTGCTGCAATCTGATTGGTTGAAACTTTAAATGTCTATAACTCCCTTGGTTTTCAACAAAACAGGATGAAATTTATGACATGGATAGGCACATAGAGCTCCTACATTATAATACTATCAAAATTGAATGCAAGGACCTGCATGTGCGTATGCTGAATTCTGATTGGCTAATACTTAAAGGGTTACATCTCTCTTATTTTTCAATGAAATTCTTTAATATTTAACACAACTGTATGTATTGTGAGACACTATAAGAAAATTAAAGTGAAAAATGTAGAAAACATGTGCAAGCACATGCGCTGAAATTTGATTGGCTAATACCCATATGGCTATATCGGAGTAGTTTTCCAATGAAATACCCTTAAAAATAAAGTGTCCATCTATATTACAAAAGTATTCTCTAATTTATTTAAGCTTGTAGAAAATGGGGCATCATAAGGGATTTGGGGAGCCGTTTGGGGAACATCTGTAACGGTTCCCGTTACAATTAGCACTAGTTTATGTTGACATGCGAAATAATATGTTAGCATGCAAGTTATTTATGTCAACATGCAACTTACATATGTTAACATGCTACTTATTTATGTCAACATGCAACTTAGTTATGTTGACATGCGAGATAAATATGTTGACATGCAACTTAGTTATGTTGAGTAGCGGATATATATATATAATTTTAAAAAATATCCAAAACTGAAATCACAAATCGATGTAAATGTCTGAAGACTCAGGAATGGCGAAAAAGTTTACAGTGAATATAATCGATCTGTGATTTCATTTTGGATATATACTTTTTTAAATATGAACAATTTTCAAAATGATAAGATTTTGAATTAAATGATTAAATTTAAATGCAAAAGAAATTATTTGGTTCACAATTTGAACATTTGTGCGAGCGTGCAGATTCGTTACTACCCAAGACATGTGCAATGAGGCACGGTTCTGTTTTTTTTTCTGTCGGTAAAATTGAAGTTGATTTTAATGATCGAAAATTTATTTAAGCAAATGTTGCAGTTTAAATTATTTTCTATAATATGAGGTGGACAACAAAGTATAAATTGGATTTCCTTAGATAAAAGATTCAGAAACCTGACCGTAGATTATAAAACGTTTTTAGGGCCCCTCTCTGCGAGCTACCTATAGTAATTAATGTGTCCCTCTGTCCATCTGTTTGTCCGAGGTCTCTTTTAAAGGGTGTGCAGTGACCTTGAACTATGTTTCAAGGTCTAAATAGTTCAAGGTCTAAGATTAAGGTCATAGCAGAACTGTATCTGAAAAATGCATGTAAACATAAATAAGTTGCAAGTCGACATAAGTATGTTGCATGTCAACATATTTATCTCACATGTCGACATAAATAAGTTGCATGTCGACATAAATGAGTTGCATGTCGACATAAATAAGTTGCATATCAACATTTTATCTTGCATGTCAACATAACCAAGTTGCATGTTGACATAAATAAGTTGCATATCAACATATTTATCTCGCATGTTAACATAAATAAGTAGCATCTAGCATGTTGGATGTCACATGTAGGCAATATTTGAGATTTTTGAAGATTTTTTATAATTTTTTATTTGATTGCAATTTTCTTGCATGTCAACATAGTTAAGTTGCATGTTCACATAACTATCTTGCATATCAACATATTTATCTTGCATGTCGACATATTTGATAGAAAAATAACTTGCACACAAGGGGCAGAAATATGCCACCATACAAGAACTATCATGGCATGATTATTCATATTTTATCCTCAAGTAGTGCAGATATAAGTTTGTTCAAATCATTGCCCAAGGGGGTAGGGTGGGATCATAATATGGGGTTAAATTGTTTAGAAGAATATTGAGGAAAAATACAAGAACAGCAGAAATTGGGGTCAGTTGGTCTCTTATTGTGCTTATAATGTATACGACAACAGCATCCCGGAATAATAATTGAAAAATACTATGATTGGTAAGGAAATATTTGTACATAGATTTTAAATTATAGATCTCTTACATAATTGGTTACAGCTATGGAGGAAATATTTTAATTAATGTTGGACCAACTCCATATGGCACATTTTCACCAATTTATGAGGAGCGATTCAGTCAGTTAGGGTCATGGTTGAAGGTCAATGGTGAAGGCATTTATGCTAGCAAGGCCTGGATACACCAGAATGACACTATTACTCCAAAAGTGTGGTAAGATATATGCTGCTGCTTATCCTTTTTCTTCTTCTGTACAATAATGATAAAGAATAAATCAAATTTTGGTATTAAAGGCTATCTTTTGCTGTAGGTCATTACACATATTTATCATTTACACTTTATTTCAGGTATACTGCACCAAAAGCAGACAAAAAGGCTGCATATGGTTTTTTCATGGATTGGCCAGTAGATAATGAGTTAATTCTTGGCTCTGTTAGTGGGGCTACTCTTTCAAATGTAGCCTTGGTTGGAAGTAACAAGACTTTGACTTGGGAAAATAATGGCTCAGGTATCAAGGTTACAATTCCACCCCACAATGTTCTGGAAATGCCTTGTTTGTGGGCCTGGTCTCTTAAGTTCTCATTCAAATAATCTTTCATTATGTACATGTATAGGTGCAAGATCAGTAGGTTACTGTATTTGGAATCAGTGATTACAATGGTTGTCCATTTGTCACAAATTTCAACATTCAATCAAAACCTCAGAAAATGTTATCACTGAAGTGCCTAATACTTTTCCTCTTTAAAGTATAATTACAATCCCTTGCCTCTTTTTAAGTGGAAAACCCCAAATTTGCATGCCTCTTTGAAAGGCACAAAAATTATCTGGTAGATGTACGTAAACACTGAGATATTTTTATTGTATCTTTTTTCTGTTTTGTGACAAAAATCATAACAATGCTATTTTGATCATCAATCACAAAAGTGTACCATTAATTGTATTTTATCCTTCACAGAAACTGTACAAATTTATGCACTATTAAGAGTTTAACATAATTCTATGTGAATTGATTAATACTGTATTCAAACTTTTACTAGTACATGTATTGTAAAACCTGCTTATAAGGAAAGTATTTGGAAACCTCATTTTTTAATTCCTTACATTTGAACTTTCTTATATCCATGTGAAAAAATGTTAAAACAACGTTGGACTTGAATGAGTTTTAACTTCCATTAAAACTACAATTTCTTTACAACAGAGTTCTTTATATACAAGTTTTTTCTGTATTTATATGGAAAAAACAATGTGTGAAAGAGAAGCACTGAAAGTAATGTTAGACTTTTGAAAAAATGTTTAGATTTGTCATATAGTTGCCCAAGTATTCTTTGACTTTTTAGCTCACCTGAGACAAAGGATTAATTACTCTTCATGACCCACTGGGGTCACAATAGGAACGCCTATTGTACAAATTTAATATGTAGATTTCCATAAAATTTCTTTTCCAGAGCACAAAGTCTGTACTTTGATGTCAAATACTATACAAACATTATAACTTTTGTTTTTGTTATACCTTTAAAAATTGTTTCTTATAGAAATCTATACTATAAAAAAAAAATCCAAAAAATTGAATGTTTTACTGAGTGGTCCAAAAAAAAAATTGATGTTAGACCACTGTCTGAGATATTGGACCTGTCCATGAGATCATTATGTCTTATTTGCATTCATTGGCATTTGATAGCTACAGAATTGACAGTGTTAAATTCTCAGGTGAGCGATGTGGCCCCTGGGTCTCTTGTTTTACAATGGAATTAAAGACTGGAACTCTCTACCTGATCAGATAAAATCTATTTCCAATAAAGCATCATTTAAAAAAGAGGTCAAGAAACATTTAATAGAGAGACTTGTAAAAATGTCTAAAGATGAATTTTTATACTATTAGAGATATTAACCAACTGTTTTTTCTTTTTACACAATGAAAATCTTCTACATTTTACTAAATTATTTCAATTTTAGATGCTTTTTCATTGGAAAAGTGTGTTTGCAATTTTATATCATTTTGTTTATAGTAAGTATATTGTGTGTGTCATTATTCCAGTAATTTATAAGTTACCAAAAGGAACCCATTGAAAATAAGCCATATTGGCTTTCATGGGCTATCCTTGGGTTTAGGCATATACAATTTATATATATATTTATATTTATTTATTTGATTTATAATTACAACATATTTCTTATGAAATTAATGTTTTAAAATTCATTTCATAAATTATGTCCACCTTTTTTCTAAATATGTATATTAATCATATACCACAATGCTCATGTACATTGCCTACATCTGAATAAAGATTATTATTATTATTGTATGTCAAAATAAAAAAGTAAGAGGTATAACAAAACATTTATTGACTGTTCTCAGAGGCAAAATGTGTTTTGTTGACCCCTTAAACCAAACTGTTTGTCTTTGGCTTAACAGCCCCAGGCAAACAGTTTGGTTTTTGGGTCTGAAAAAATGCATGTTGCCTTGGAACCGAGTGAATAAATGTATAAAGTTGTCACCCCTGTGGCTAGTGTAGGGAAATACAAAGGTTCCAAATTTTATATAAATTTATATATTTATAATTTTATATATAATCTATATACAATTTTATACATGTAAATGCTCAAGATATACTGTAATATAACCTTATTTGGGACAGTTCATTCTTTATAAACCTAGTTATTTAATCTTCTACCTGACCAATAAATATACAATGTAAGATAACAATGAAGATAATCTCTTTAAAAATAACTTCAAAGTCTTCGTTTTGATCAGCATATGTTCAATTCTTGCCTTGATAATATAGAAATGTTTTTTGATGAAGATATAGTCTTTCTAAAGTGAAAAGATATGACTGAATGAAAATTCAAAAATGAAATTTTTCTATAAATGTTGTACAGTTACTAATTAAAACACATATAGCAATGCTCCATTGTGATATGCACAGTCTTCATTTAAATCTGTAATCTTGGTACACTGTATTTGTGACTTGAGGTCAACCATAGTCAGCATTGTCTGATATTGAAGTGGATGGGATAGAAACATTAAGTTTTCTTTGAATGATAAAAGGGCTCATAAAGGCAATGATGATTTCTCTATGGTATACACATTTACAAGACAGTGGCTGATTATACAGTGTGCCACCAGTGTTATATGGTTTTATGTTACATTTTTATTCACTTATTCGAATAGGTGATATCACTTATTGAATAGGTGATATCTACGGAAGTGTATTAGTGCCACGTGGACACTTTTTTGTTTTTCATTTTCCACACTTTAATCTGTAAATTTTACACTTAAATCTGTAAATTTTACACATTAATCTGTAAAATTTACACTTTAATGTGTAAAATTTACACTTTAATGTGTAAATTTTACACTTTAATCTGTAAAATTTACACTTTAAACTGTAAATTTTACACTTTAATCTGTAAAATTTACACTTTAATCTGTAAATTTTACACTTTAATCTGTAAATTTTACACATTAAAGTGTAAATTTTACACTTTAATCTGTAAATTTTACACTTTAATCTGTATAATTTACACTTTTATCTGTTTAATTCACATAATCAAATTGGCAACCTCATACATCTTTTAAAATAACACGCCTTAAAGCCAACAGACCATGAATCCTGCGTGATAAAATTTAATTTTGATTTCTTATTTAACAATAAACGTGGAAAATAATTACTTATCAGATGTTATATATATTGATATAATATAAATAATAAGCAATCTAGTATCACTGATATTAGTGAGACTTTCATAGAATATTTGAAAGTATTATGAATTCAGTGGAAGTGAAGAGCAAAGCAAACACACGTATCTCAATGAATATGATACTGACATCTTTATAGGCAAATTCATTTGATGCGCTCGGCAGTTCAATTATTGATAGCATTAATTGAATTACATTCAACATTTATTACGGTCACCAATTGAATTACTTTCTGAATTGAAAATTTTTAAATAACCAATTAATATATTAATTATTAAAGTATATACATGTAAATAATTAAACTATATGATTTTATATTAATTTTGGAACAACATAGAAATTAATATCCTTTAATTCAATGATGTTTCTTTATTGTTACGTTCTAAAATCACCGTAATATTAAATGTTATATTTTACATCATGATCATAGACCCATAAACTTGCAATAGCTATCTGAACTGCACATGAGAAGACAAACATATTTGATATATATATTTTTTTCTGTTCGTCAATCTTTATTATATAACTAAAGAAATATACTGGATTGAAAACAGATTCCCGATATTTTCCTGGAAACAGTTACGAGGCCAATGAGCAAATCGCCCATCCTTACTTATCATATATACATGTGTAAACTTTTGATGCAAACACTTGTGAACATCTCAGATTTATACTATTTTTCAAATGTCATAGGTATAACACCATAAAAAACGACCGTTCGATTATAACAGATTACAGTATATTAAGTTTTTCAGATTAAAGTGTAAATTTTACACTTTAATGTGTAAAATTTACAGATTAAAGTGTAAATTTTACAGATTAATGTGTACAATTTACAGTTTAATGTGTAAAATTTACAGATTAAAGTATAAAAATTACAGATTAAAGTGTAAATTTTACGGATTAAAGTGTAAAATTTACAGATTAAAGTGTAAATTTTACACTTTAAAGTGTAAATTTTACAGATTAATGTGTAAATTTTGCACTTTAAAGTTTAAATTTTACAGATCAATGTGTAAATTTTACACACTAAAGTGTAAATTTTACAGATTAAAGTGTAAAATTTACAGATTAAAGTGTAAATTTTATAGATTAAAGTGTAAAATTTACAGATTAAAGTGTAAATTTTACAGATTAAAGTGTAGAAATTTAAAAAATAAAAAGTGTCAAAATGGCACTAATACGCTTCCGTAGATATCACCTATTCAAATAGTGATATCACTTTATGACAGTAAATACCAAAACGGCGCCTCATACATTTTACTGCAGTCAGGAGTGCAACAAAACTGTTTTATAATTATCAATGATCTTCATCTATCTTAACTGATTATCAATGAACTTCACTTCATCTATCTTTACTAAAAATAAATTGCAGAAAATGTTGATACTATTTGTAGTTCAATTCATTATGTCTATCAACAAATTACAGATATTGTTTGGACATTTTACAGTCAATTCACACTGATAGAATAATTTTCATCACTAAACATATATTTTTTAGGTCACCTGGGGCCCGTTTCATCAAAGGTCGCACGCCCAGTCGTAGCGCTACGCCGGTGTAAAGTCGGGACTAGCACGAAGATTTGCGTTTCATTTAACAGCGTATCTTTACACCGGACTAAAGTTAGGCCAAAATTTTACGTCTACTCATGGGTAGGCGTAAGTTCCGGCGCAAACATAAAATAAAGCGATTTTACTGATTTGAAAACGATTTAGTCATTCCTTAAGAAGAATTACGGTTCTAAGAAGTCTTTTTGATACAAACGATGCATTATTTAATTTTAAAAAATATGAAGATTGGTGGGGTGTGTGGGTTACACCCACTCGGGGAGGTAATTGACATGCAGTATTTAGCTACATAGCTTACTTTAATAAATTTCTTCATAAAAAATTGCCTTATTAGGGATTCATTTTAACAAAATCTCTTAAGTTTTGACAATCCTGCAGTTTAACACAATTGATTGTTGTATTTTGAGGATGAGGTATGGTAAATCGACCATACGATATACATTTTGTGTCATAATTTTGACATAAAAGCTATTTTTCCCAACATATTTTTTTTTTGGTGGTGGTGGTGGTGGGGGGGGGGGGGGTAATTTTTCCACAAAAGCAGTTATCTTCTTTAACTTTGGTTAATATCTATATTTAATAAAAATATTTTTTAACTCATCGTAAAACCAAGTAGGCTTTTAAAAAAAATATCGTGCTCGAGAACTCCATTACGATTTTTAGCTTGTCAACAAGTTTCTCAGATTGAATTTTTGGTTACTGATGACCCTGCGCCCCCCCCCCCCCACTCACCCACCCTTCAAAAAATCACAGACCCGCGCCTGCGTCCAGAAAAAGTTCAGGCTGATTTCGTAAATAAACCTGAAAGTCAATATATCCTGATATTGAATACTAGTTAAAGAGGATTTTACCTTAGGGACTAGGGGCAACAAGGTCACTCGAAAGCTTCTGAGAATCAGCTGTCAGAGAAACTTGACTCGGAAATGACTGTAATTTTACAATTATTACGTCAATGTATGACAATGTATTAATGTTTAAACAATGAATGATAAATTTCTGAAAATTTCAAAATGAATACTTGCCTTTTTATATCGGGAAAAATAAAAATAATCCACATTTTTAAAAATAAATACTACGGTACATTTTTTAGGAAAAAAACCTTTATTTTTTCATGATGATGCATATTTTGTTTTATTTTATCGATTCTTTATAATTTAGTAGTCCATCATATGCCCAGTTACATAAATATACAGTCAAGTACATAAAATTGTAACGGATTCTCCCTCCCCCTTTCACTCTCTCTCTCTGTCTCTTTTTCTCTTCCTGTATCAAAAATAAAAGGAGTTGGGGTACTGTAAATATCCAAAATAAATACTTTCTTTCCATTCATTTACAAGAACATTAATCGGATGGTATGTTGTAAGAAGTTAATAATATTTTATAATAATTAGACTAAGGTGCTTGTTTTCTACAAGGTCCTTCAAATCCATGTAATTTTTCATTTAAGTTTATGTATGTGTGTTGTTCTACATACATTGTACACAATACGTATGTTTATGTTTTTTGCGCATGTGCAATGCAGCGTTGTCAAGGACTTAGTCCTGAGACTAAGCGTATCGTATACGACTAAACTTACGCCAATTCGTGAAACGCAAATTACGCCCGACTAAATTTTGGCGTAAGCCCCGGAAGTACACCTAAGTTAAGGCTTAAATTTACGACTTTTGATGAAACGGGCCCCTGAGTTTACTCAGGTGACCTATTGCTATCCGTTTTTGTCCGTCGGCGTGCGTCGTGTGTTAACATTTGAAAATTTTCAGCTTCTTCTCTGAAACTGCTCAACCAATTTCAACCAAATTTGGCATATAGCATCTATGGGTGAAGGGGGACAAAATTTTTGAATTTCAGGGTTCCTGCCCCCCTGGGGCCTGAGGGGTGGGGCTAAAACCACTAAAATTAATGCAATCTTTAAAAATCTTCTTCTTTACTCCTGGACATCAAGCAGTCAAACTGTTGGCATGATTGTAATAAGCATTGAGCCCTCCACCAAAATTATGAAATTCATGGCCCCAGGGTTAGGGGTTCTGGTGCT